TGTTGCTGAAAAATCACAAATAATAAAAATGAAGGCCCAACACGCCGGAAGTCACACACGCCCGTACACGCACGCAGACAATAGGCTGCATACACAAATTCACTGCATCTCATTTTCTTTCCTTATGACACGTACACACAGATACACACACAGGCCCAAGCAGTGTTTATGAGCAGATGTTGGCTGACAGGTTTGAATTCATGCAGGAAAAAATGCAAGTCAACACTCTTGGCTCTTATCGACAGCACTGAATCTCCTCAACCTAGTATAATCTCTGAGTGCATGTATGCTGACAGGGGAATTTGGTAAATTTTGAGGTAAAAATTTTCTCATTTACAATCATCTGCAGGCCATGTTCATGTAAGTAGCCTCTTGTAATGTAAATGAATACAGTAAGGCAGAACTGGAACTAAGATGATACAATGAATTTGAAACATTTTGCAATACAAATGTCTGACATCAGATAATCTTAGAGCTACAATAAAACTTGAGAGTCTGTCCAGGGACTGATTTAAATTTAAGAATGTGCAAAAAAAATATGTTCCTCACGTTTAGAAGGAAAAAACACTTCATACAGCAATTGTTACACAAAAATGTATACAGTGCATCAAGCAGAGTGACTAAAAGAAGAGTTGGAAGAGTAGGAGGAGGAAAGGGAAGAGTGAAGTTGTTCACCTTTCTAACACCATCTGCATAGCAGATTAAATTGCTCCCTGTAGAAGAGAGAGGCTTCATTTCTCTGCCTAATTATTCCTGACCCAGAATCATCTTGCCTTTATTTAACCCTCAAACCACTAGAAACTGACTTCAGTTCAGTTAAACGTCAGAGGGTAAAACTGGGAGGATTTTATAAAGTTTTAGATAGTTAATCATCAGCACCAAGCACTGGCATACTATTGTGAATGTTTGACATTTTGTGCATAAATCTTAATGAGACTGTTGTGCAGGACATACATATTTCATAAATGCACAGCCATGTGTATTGTCAAATATTGCAAATCCACTTACAGGCAATTGTCTTACCACAGAGGCAGCATGTTCATTGTAAAAAGGAATTGAATTCCCTGCAGCTCAATCTTCCCCATTATGCATTATGATCTTTGTTTTCCAAATAATGTTCTGATTATTTTCATATCTTGTTAAATATGACGGGTCATTGGGGATAAGGAATGGGAGTTACACAGGACATGTGCCCTCTGTCCCCTGCAACAGCTGTTTAATATCATACGGTAACATGTTTTTGCACCCTAAGGTCATTATCATGAGCATACAAATGCCAATGCTTGTGATATACCTGTGGATTCCTGGGTGACATGCAGCTGAGAAGTGATGCACATTATGTTGTATTATGTTCTGCAAATCAGTTAAAGCTAGCAAAAATAAAAAAGTGCAATTTTTTCCCCCAAAATAAACTTTGGTAGTTGAATAATGCTATTGCAAACAGATGTTAGATGAAGGGCAACTAGCTAACCAATCATTTTAAACAAGTTAACAAGAACACAAATGTTACAGTCCCAGCTAATGCAAGTACTACACGTGGTTCTCTGATTTCTGTACATCAAGTTGTGGGCAATTGTATAAACTCAGCAAAAACTGGCAGCTGAAACTTTATATTTTGTTAGTATATATTTTAAAGAATTATATATACAGTGCTGCACTGTGGCAGTTAGTGATTTTATGTTTTCAGCCACTAAGGAGAGATGCAATAGAACGCGAGATGACAGTAAATCTCTCAATAGAGTATCTGCCTCACTTCTGAGATGATTGTTGAGCTTCTGCACTCAGGTTTCCACCTTGAAATCTCTACCCAGAATATTCCGGTACATTTCTGCATGCATCCTTCCACAGATTATATGATGACTGTTGGTAGCGCGTCCCAAAAGACAGTTCCCACACCTCCAAACTTCACACTTAGTATAGTGTTCTGATTGTGATGTGCAGAGCCATTTCTCCTCTAAAACAAAGACAACCTATGAGTTTCCTCAGTATTTCGCTGGCTTGTCCAAATTTTCTGCACCAAACTTCAGTGCATTCTTTGTGTTAATGCAGTTTAAGGGAAAAACTGCATTATAATTTTAAAATTTCAAAAGCTCATTAATTAAGAATGAGCCTGATAAATATTGACAAATCTGTGGGGCGACAGAGAAAAGCTTCTTGATGAAGACTTTTTATAAACTGTTAGGACAAGATAGCCTAATGGTTTATAGAGTCATTTACATTTCATCACTTACTAACATCTATACATTTTATGTACACTAGTATAAATACTTCAGGAAAGCTGTATGCAAAACTACTTCTGTTGCACGTTTTTAAGCAGCAAAAAGCAAGAGATCCCGATTGATAAGATGATCGACAAGAACGTAGTGGTCTGTACGAATGTTGCACTTGTATGTAGAGGAGGAAAAGAGAAACTGAAATTCTATTCTGGTCCATATTTTAGTCTATTTTAGTGAGCACCGTGTCAGAGCTGTAGTTTTTTTCGTTCAGCCTTTCAGTCGTACGGCTAACATCAGTTTATGCAAGTTTGAGCTTTTTGCCTCTTCACTATACCAACATCATTTTATTATTTCCTTTCTTTGTGTTCCAGCCTTGATCCTCACTTTCTCTTTCTATCTCTATACCCTCCTGCACCAAAAACTAATTCATCAAAGCCGACAGTGGCTGTTGGTATCTTGTTATTCCTGCTGCCCCTCCAGCTTATTTTATTTCAAGTAGATTTATAAAGCCTGGTAGACTGAATGCTGAAATAGTCCAGGAAATCTAACTCATCTGTTTTATACAATTTATTTTTCCCCACTTTCATTCTCACCAATATCCAACAAATGTCAAATATACATTTTTGGGGTCATGAAAATGAAAAACTGAGGTTAGAAGCTCTTCTAGCACTCATGATAGCTTTTCACGTTGTACATTTTCTCTCAATTTTAGGTTTGTAACAGTGAAAGCGAAGAAAATTAAGACAAAGAAGAAAACTTTACCGTGATGCACAAACCTAGTGTTATTCTATTCTGGAAAATAAGAAAATGCATTGAAGTATCTGGTGGGAACAGGACAAAATGTGAAGTTAAAATGTATCTGCATAATAGCATAATAAAAACTACTAAAGCAAGATGATTTTGGACAGTAATTCTATCTAAAAAATCCAATCAAAGGAGAAAAACTAATTTTCAATTATATTTTTCAATTAAATCCAATTCGCTCAAGAAGAAACCCTCACTTTAAAAGTTTTCTTTTCCTCCCAAATCCTGGATGAGCATTAGTATATTCATAAAGAAACCAAAACATTTTAAATTCAACTTCCTACTTTTTTTTTTTTTGCTGAAGTCTAAGGCTTCCTGCTGTCAAGCACTCAAGCTGAGGCACAAAATGTGGCATAAAAATAAAGTAAACCTGCTAAAAAAAAAATAAAAAAATAGGGATTTCTTTTGCCTCCGAAGAACAAATTCCAATTTGTGACACCTCGTCTTGTCAAGCAGCAGTGCTGCCTTAGCTGCATTTTTCTGCAGAGAGCTGCTAATATTTACACAAACTTGCTGAACAAGGTATAAATCTGACTTAATTTTATCTGCTTCAATTTCGAATCAACATAAAATGTAACTCCTATTAAAAGACTAAAAACAGGTCTCTACTTTTACATTCAACATAGCTAAAACAACTAGAAATGATTCAATAATTTGACCCCATCCTGTTACATAATCTAAACTACGATCCAGTAGAATGTGCTTAAGATAGCAACCCTGTTGCAACAAACTTTACCAATTTCTGCAGGGAAAACAGTACAAGATGGAGCTCTTATTTTCAGGGTCAAATAATAAACTCTCAGTAGAGGACGAAAAAAAACATGAGCTGAATCTCAGGCTGTGTAACAATCTTCCATAAGAGCAAAATTGGTATTGACATTGTGAAAAGGGACATCGTCCTAAAGGACCAACATCTAGCCAGATTTTCTCCGTCCTAAAAGTTAATGAGCCAGGCTCTCATCCACCAAGATCAGAGGTGGCTCAGCTCATCTTTTATTTATCATCCGAACCTAGATAATGAATCACCTGACTCGTAAATCTGCATGTGCAAATATTGTTTCATGACTCAAGTTGATGTGAAGGCCACATGGGAATCAATGGAAGTCACTGTACTGCTCTCATTAGCAAAGAAAAACAATCAGGGTGATACTGACTTTAGAGGCTGATGAAACAGACATTACAGAACAGCAACATCCTGTTGAAGAGGTGAGGTCATCTTGTTCCTCACCCTTTTATGATATACATTTTGCTCACAAGGAATAATTATGTCTGAAAGCACACAGATTCAAGAAATATGAGTCAGGATGATGACTAAGATCATATGCATTGTCGATGGATGTTTTTTTCTGCACATCCCTAGTCTCAGCAAATGTACCTTTCAGATAAAAGCTACTTTGGAGAAAGACATAACAGGCAAAAAAAAAAAGAGAAATCAGTTAAAAGGGTGTTTAGAGCAAAACATCAGGTTATAGCTATGTTTCTAAAAACAGTAAGCACATTTTTAAAAAACAGTTTTAATCACCCAGCAACTTTTTAGCAAGATGTTATTATTTTTATGTCTGGAAAACAAGCCATTTTCAAACTCTCTCAATTAATAAGTCAACACCTGCCAACCCCAGCCATGTTACCTAGCAGCCAGGTAAGCTGTTGGGAATCACAAGCAGGCTGGACACGGCATATTGCGCTTTTTATATATCTTGTTGGTTGTCCCACAGACAATACACTCCACAAGTACTTCTTCCTCATTGGATAAAATCATGTAAACCTTTGTCTTTAACTCAAATGTGAGTCACAGGTTTTGTCACCTAACTTTTGCTTTGGATACAAATTGAACAATACATACCAAAGTTTAGTGTTTTGTATAGAATACAGGCAACTTTTGCCTATATTCTGGTGATTTTTCGCAACATATTTTTACTTCAAATATGGACCTATCGTCTTCTAATTGAAAACGTTTTAAAAGGTTTTCTTCGCTCCTACCTTTCTGAAAACGATCATATTGGGGTAGTCATCATCTGGGTCTATGGTGCTCATGGTGCTCATGGACCTCATGGACAGAAGAGGTCGAGCCTTTCTGGCGACTTCATTTGGTTCCTCGGAGCTTTCATCGGATTCACTGGTCTCCACAGAGCTTGGCAGCTGCTGCTCCTCTTCCTCCTCCTCCTCCTCCTGCTGCTGCTGATGCTGCTGATCCTGCTGAGGTGCTTCAGCCATCACCGCAGTGTCCCTTTTCGGATGTGTTAAGTTATCCTCTCTTCTTTATCAGCGACACTTCTTTCTTTACGTCTTGTGCCCTTTCCTCAGTGTCTGGAGGGTGCTGCAGGGAGAGACACAGATTAATTGGACTTTATAACTCACTGGTGGGCTCCATCAGTTTTTTCTAGAGCTTCTGTCAGGAAGAACAGAATGGATGAAATGAACACGTCATAAATTCTGCTTGTTTTCTCAGTTTGACTTCCTGTTTATTTAGCACATCGCATGGTGTTTAAGCATTTTATAAATATTTTTGTTTATTCATTCATAAACCATATCACCTCCCACACTGTCACATCAAATTTTAAATCAAAGCATTTATTTCTCATAATCAATTACAATAATTTATGGGACTGATTCAAAATCTTGCTTGAATAATTTTGATGACATACTGAACCTGAATATTTGTTTTTTTTATCAGCCATATGCTTCCATCTCTCAGCAAAATGAATTAATTTGACCTGATTTCTTAGTTTTTGTAGTGAAAGCTCAACTTGATCAATATTCAACACTGCAAACCTGTTGTATTTTATTTAACATGGCCAAATATTAATGTGGCACATCCGGCCAAATGATTATTTTATAAGTGATGGTTATGTTTTACTATAGAGGGGCAGAAACTTTATGACGCTCTTACTCCTGACAAGAATGTTGCTGTGGTTTTTAATTCTCCCACTTCCAAGTTTGACTCAATAAGTGGTTCAAGTTGGTCATTATAAACCCAAAGTACTCTAACATTACCCTTGATGAGTCTATATAAACTTATGACCATGACTCCTTGTCTGAAAATACTCCAAGCATTTTTTAACAGAGGGTTGAGTAAAAGGATGCAGTGTTTTCTATCTGACAACTGCCAAAAATAGCCGTCTTCTTTCTCAGGTGGGATTTGCTTAAAAAAGCACAGAGAAGAAAAACAAAAAAAATGACATAAGGGTTTCATATTTATGAAGTTCCTTTCCAAAGGAAAATAATTTTGTTCCTGAATCTTACATGCTTAACTGTGACCAAGTCTTATCCCACTAAATCCACCAGAGATGAGATGTTTTGGAGGTTTTTTAATTAAATGATTTTCATCCTGAGATAGTTCAGTTCAGTGGCAACTCACAACTGAAAGTCTAAAATGTGCTCTAAATGGAGCAACACTTTCTCCAATTTTAATTAACACAAGTCAGAGTGAAACTCTAAATCCCACCTAATACCTGAAGAGTAAAAGTTATAAAATGGAAGCTGAAGAAAACTCAATATTTTCTTCACTATATCCTCATGCTACAATCTGCTGAATGCTTTGTGAATGCAACAGTTAGTCGTTTTAACATGCAGCTATTCCATCGATCTCTATTTCTAGAGATTAAATGAAATCCAAATAGGACATTTGATTTTAACTAATCTTTAAAAATCAAGACAGATCTACAGCTACAACTCCAAGCTTTTTCCAAAGATGTTTGGAGGATGGTGGTGGAAAACTCATGCTATAAAAACTTGAGTGAGTCTGGATGTCCAATTTTGGTAAAGAAATTGCAAAAACATTGCATGCATGCATACAGAGCATTAATTTGTAAAAAGAGCCCCCCAAAGATGTTCTACATTTGTTCCTGTGTAAACATTGTGACACTGGTATTTTTTGCATATACCATTAAAAGAAAACTTTTTTGCCTTGCTTGGAGACGGAAACATTTTCTTGATCACACAAAAACTCAACTCAGAAACTAGTTAAACATATTTAACTGTCACTGGCCTGGAGCAGAACCGGCATCCAGCAACTACAAGCATCAAACAGAAATTCTGCAACAAGTTTGGATACACAAATGTGTAATGATCAGAATTTTTTTTTTTTTTTTTAAGAAAATGTGGAACAAACTGAGCTGCCATCATATAGAAAAGTTATCCTACATTTCAGCTTGTGCTGCAAATTGTGCTCTCTTCAGTGTACGTAAGCCCTGCAGTCAAGATATAACTAATATTTGATTCTAAAGGGAAAGCTGAATGATTCATTTCACATTCCACTAAAAAGACATGTAGACATACAGACAGCTGTCAGGAGGCTTTTTGACCAGTACAGACAGATTATAATATAGAACTACAGATAGAGAAAGGGCTCCCAAAAAACTACACTGTGTGGATCTGGGAAAATGATTGTGCAAAGCAGTTTGCATGAATTAAAAGGTAAGTTGGCTGTTCTTAACTGGGCAAATTCCAGCAGGTAACTCATGCAAGCTGATCCAATATTATTTGGGCCCAATGCCCAGCTGTGTGTGTGTTGTACTGCTCAGACACACATTTAAGTCCACATCAGCTGGCACTTTAGATCAATGCTCTCATCAGCCAGCTGTTTGTTCCTCTGAAATTCTCAGAGAATACACACACACACGCACAGTGTGTCAGCAGCAGAGCTTCAGAGGGCTGCTTCCTGTGAGGGAAGGAAAATGTGGCGTTTGTTTGCAATTGCAAATTAGAGGGGGACTGAAATCATCTCAGAATTAATGGCTTCCAACCTGCTGTCGTTATTCCAAACATACCATCTGTTTGGTCGGTGCCGCAAACCTGCACCTCGCTACGACAACAAAATGCCTGAATTGTTTCCTTGTGATCAAGTTCACACCCTGATTGATCCGTCCTCCACCCGGGATAAGATGTAGGATTGTTAAACTGGGATCAGTATCAGGGGATTGGCTCTGACTGCTCATTATGCATGCAAATTAAATGTTCAGCATGAATCCTCGCATCCACCTTTATCACCACGTGATTTAAAGAGCATGTGGCGTGTTTGCTTTATCAGGAGATTTGGTTAAATCCACTTTCACCTTTTTGTTCTTTATTCGAGCCCATAAATCGATATTCTTAAGCAGCAGGACATCCTAATTGCGTTTTTTGGAGAAAGGGGGATTGTAAAGGGTCAATCTCAGAATTGCACATAAAAAAAAGTTAGAAGGTCCCAGGTTTATGTGCAAACTTAGAGAAATGTATAAAATTTAAAACTTTAGATTAATGTGAAACCTTGGCACATACTGAAAGGGCAGTTTGCTTGTAGCACCTCAATTTGTCACTTGTTGCACTGAGTGACCTTTCCCTGTTGGTGCATTGCAGCACTGCTGATTTTCTCTTTTTTAAGAAATAAAAAAAAATACATAACTGAAGTCCAATTAAATGAATCTATTTGCTGGACAAGTCTATTTTAAATTTGTTTGATTTGTTCCCTACATTCCCACTCTCATCACTTTCCCTCAAAGTTGCATGAATTTACAAGATGGAACTGAAAAGGTATGACTGTCACTCCAAAATCTCATCTATGACTGAAACAAAATGCACTAAATTAACCTTACAATGCAGATTTTTATTTTGCTGCTCTTTGTAACAGTTAATAATCCATTTTAAATTAGGGCTGCACCGATTGCAGTTTTCTAATGTTAAGTACATTTGTGCCAACCTTTTTATTGGTCACAACATTAAAGTTTATAAAAGATCAGTCTTAGTAAATCCACTGTGTTCAAATAGGAACAAAAACAAACAATGAATCTTACTTAGATAAGATTTTCTGGTCCAAATTTCCAGATACAAAGAACAAAGCAGCATCAAAGACAAAAAAAAAAAATAATTGCTGTGATAATTTATTGCAAGTCTCAAATTATTAACCCAATAAATTGGATCAAATTCACAGCTGAATATGACTTTGCCCTTCCATTTTCATCTCAACACATGCTGAGATGACAGCAAGAGGAAACCCAGGGAGATCTCCAGCTGCTTCTAAAGTCTTTTTTATCCGTTTCCCTCAAGCCCCTTTGCAGAGCAACACGGTCGCAGCTGGTGGTTTCTGCAGCACCTATTCCCAACACCTCCCAGGCAGGACTAAACACTTGGCAGTTTCAACACTGGATGGCTCCAAATCAAGGAAACAATCAAATCAGTGGACTTGGACGGTTATATGGCAATGTTCAATTCTTAATTTGCAACAAAAGGTTGCAGTTACCAGTCAAATTAAAGCTTTTGCTTTCATTTATGTGTATATATTCTGCATAAATTGTAGACAGATTTAAAATGTCCAAAATTTTGATTTTCAGGATTAAATAAATCAAGAATGAAGGTTTGTAGCTAGATGCTTTTATGAGGTCAGTTAATTAAAAAAGCCATAAAAATCAGTTGGATGTTACTACTTAAGAAAAGGTGAAGATGAGTAAAATTTACTAAATTTATCAGAGATTTTGAGCTTATTTTACACTTTTTAACAAGACAAATTAAGAGCTGAAAAGAAAAGCCAACAAGCAGAAATGTTGGTAGAAAGCCAGTAATGTTCTGACACATTGTTTGCGATCCATAATGATCCCTCACACCTATTAGTGCGTTAAACATATTTGTCCTGTTAGGTTTGGTTAATTTTTCAAAGTTTTTTGTTTGAAAACTTCTTGAAATTTAAAGTGTTCATTATTTTTAACAGTCCAGTACAGCACAATAGCGAGCTGATCATCAAGCCATCAATTAATGACAAAACATGTTAAAAGTCGCTAATCCCTGCAGTGTGCAATCAGCTTAGGTAACAATAATGAATTTTTCCCCATCCTGATGGACACAGAACATCAAAATAATTTTGAATCATTAGCAGTAGCAACCCCATCAACAGGAAAAAGCAAAAGTGGTCATTATAAAACTTTAGTTAAAACATGAAAATCAAAATACCTTCAAATTTATTTTGTTTTTGCACCTTAATTTCGAATCTGTGTTGATGGTTCTAGAAAGACTTGGATTTTTCCAAATGAACTAAAACAATAATCTGCACACAAAAAGTGTATTTGTAGCAAAACAACTTATAACATTCTTTCAAATGTTGGGCATATTATTATTATGCAATAGATTACACCCAAACGTCACAAAAAGTATTTGATTGTACATCTGTAAAATCTCCCGTCATATTGCAATATTTGAACCAACATTAATGTCATTAACATTTTACTCCAGAAAAAAATATATTTTTAATATAAATCATTATATTGAAGCTCCAAACATGGAGGAGTTGGATCTTCAGACTCACTTTTCAATCTGAGCTTTTGCCAAGAATGGACAACAAAGGAAAACAAAATCCCAAAATCCCATTCAGGTTCTAACTGTGCAAAGCTGGTGGAGGAAAACTCTAAACCTGCTATCGTTGCAGCAAAAGCTGGTTCTGCAAGGTATTGACTGAGGGTTAAAAATCAACAAACTTGAGATTTGTTTTGAAAAAAATATTTAATTTTCTTTAATTTCATAATTTTTCTCGCTCATCAAATCACATCTGATTAAAATACATTTAAGTTTGTGGATGCAATTTCAGAAAATGGCAGAATTTTTAATACTTGAAATTAGCATGGAATGAAGTAGAGAGTAATTTGTGATCCATTATCTAATCACACATCTGTAACAAAATGCAGTTGATTAAAAACAAGGAGGTCATTAGCAATTAGTTCCCATTCTGTGAATGGAGAGCTTTTATAAAAGTCTTCCTGATGTTTTTCAGCATGAAACATTTTTGCAGAGATTAACTATGCGTTTTGGGTAATAAAAGTAAGATCAGTGTTAGGCCTCCAGCCATGAAATTAAGGCAAGACAAAGAGAAGAACCTGCAAGAACAAAGAAACTGGGAAAATAAGTCTGGAAGAAGCAACAAGCAGACAAAGTGAGAAGAGCTATAGAGTAATAGCGAAATCATCAGGATATGGGATATTCACAACTGACCTCAGAACATTACTAAAATGTCTTGTGCAGGAAAATCACCAACAAGTACCTTCAAGTGCTGAACTGCACCGATAAAATTGTGCCCCGATTCAGCAAATAGGACATTTAAAATATGTGTCAGCTACAACAAAATAAAAATTCTCTGCACAGTGAGTCAATGCTTTCAGGAACGATGCACTTCTTGTTTGAAAATTGACTCTAAAATTAATGCCATGACAAAAACGCTCCGATACATCTGAATCCTCCACATCCAGAATCACCAGTCAAATCACACAAACGCATTTTAAGTTGGTTGACATCAGCTAAAGCCAAGTAAAAAACAGATCATATTCATCTGAATTAGAATATCATGCGATTTCCACAACAGAATTATGAGAGGTTCTGCACGATGGAAACTGAAACATCTCATCTCAGGACGATCCACTCCCTGAATGCGCACGCATCCAAAAGCTTCTATCATCCACTCAGACATATGTGCCCACCAAAACTCTCAACATCCGTGGAAAACCCCCCACAGAAACACCCACTGTGACTCAACTGAGCAGTCGAAGTTGATTAAACCACAGTTGCGATTCATAGGACTGTCCAACATCATCCAACACCTCGGCGCATCACTCTGCCAGCATCGCCGCGCTCGCTCTTTCTTTCCCCCCAACAAATCTTATACACATCTTTCTCACTGCACTGCACATCAGTCTTCCCACCCCCATCTATCTTCACAGCCTTGTTTCTCACCTCTCAGCGCCCGCTGATGTCCATCCTTCGCTGGGAGCTCCGGAGACAAGAAGCGGCTTCACCACCGACCCAACAAGCGCCTGAAGAGAGAGGGAGACGGAGAGAGGCAGGAGCACAGGAGGGAGGGAGAACCAACAATCCTTACACACCCAGAACCGCTTCAACGTGCTGCCAAATAAAGTTAAAACAAAATAAAACAATATTATAGGTCATTTAAAAATCAACCAATTAACTATTGTCATGCCAAAAACCTCATTTTGATCTGGTGTCTTAAAATATTTATGAACTGAGGCCCCAAACTTTGACTAGTCTTTGCATTACTTCACTAAATACATTGCATTTTAAACAAAGGAAAGTGCTCTATCACTTATATATGCTTATTGCTGAGGTAAGATAGGAGAGCAGCTAACTCACTTGATATTTCTTCCCGAGAAATGTGCTAAGATAAAAGTAATAATAATTAAAAATATATAGCCTATTAAAAAAATAAAGTTAAGCTCGGAAACTTACAAGAAAAGCAGTAGAGATGCTGAAAATGAACAACAGGTGTGGCGTAACCAGTGAAAGGAGAGTAATGATGCGTTCCAGTTACCTGGGAATTTGGTACCTTCGAGTGAAGAAGTCGAAATTTCAGCATGGCGTCGCCCTTAGACATTTAATTTTATTATTTTTTATGGTAGTACTTCTTACTTTACATAAGTAGACACCACTTTTGATTTGTTGCGTTTATAGTAACAGAAAGTTGATTTCAGACGCTCTTTTGCATGTGTCATGTAAAATGAACGTTTCTGTCGATGCCAGGAGGAGCGGCCATCTTGAAAGTCGGCCTGACGTCATCAATGAGGCCAGTTGGAGTTGCTCCCAGTTCTCCAGTGGGAAATCAAACTTTAGAGGATTTTTCCGCCTGGGAAACTGGAATTTCCCAGTTCCGAGTGCAACAGGAATGTGGCAAGACAAGTAGCCACAAAAGAAACAAATAAATCGAAATAAAACTATTTCAAAAAGCACATTTGAAACTTTAAACTTCACCTAAGAGTTGAACATAAAACAAAACTTTCAATAACTTTAAAAAGATCAGAAATCAAAAATAACAGCAAGAAATTTTAAAAATATGACCCAAATAAATTGAAGGACCATTCATGTTTTGACCAGTTTTCATCTAAGATGAAAGAATTAAGCTTTTTTTAAATTTATTTATTTATTTTTTTTAAGCTAAACTAATATCGTACTCCCCTATGGAACAATAAAAAAAACATGCTATTTATAAAACAAACTGGTCAGAGTGCAAGCATTTGGAAAAAAAAAAGAAAATTTTTAGAAGCAAAACTATGCAAACTTTAGAAAGAACAAAGAAGCAATTTATCATTAATTTTACATGTTAAGGAAGCCATTCTGAGGATTAAAGTGATCAAAATGTCATTTTTAGTGGAAATCAATTTGAGTTAATTGTTGTAATTGTCACCATATGAATAAACAGATATTCAAGTTGTTAGAAATAACTGGATTCTTAGTCTGTTCCTGAATAGCTGAAGACATATTTCATAACATTTTCTTGATAAAATGTCAAAAATGTTGAATTCTTTACAGTAGCTACTATCAACATTTTCTACTGTACAATGGTGCTGTAAAACCGCTGTGCATATAATTACTGTAAATTATTTTTCTGCCTAATTCAAATTTATTTCTCCAGTTGTAAAATTGTACCTCCAGAAATCTAGCATTTCTAATCAAGCAGTAAGTTCACAGAAAATGTTGTTTTTCCCTTCAGACACTCCCCAGCTGCAATGTATTCCAACCGGAGGTTGAAATAGTAATTCGTTTCTAAATGCTGGTGTGAGATTTGTTCAGCAGCACTGAGATAAACTCTCTCTGTGCCTCTGAATTTATTTCCTGTCAAGAAGCCGGCTCTGTCAGGGTCACAGATGGCGCCGATCTTTTAATATTGGAGCTTGATGTTGTCTATTTCAGCTCCAATAATTCAGGTACAACACATGCTGGATCAGACCGATTCTATTTGCAGCTTCCAGCAAACTATTTTCTTCACAAAGCATTTAAAAATACCTCGTAAATATTAACAAATATTTTCATCTGCAAAGAAAGTAGAAAGTAAATGTGAACATTTCAAGCTGGATTAAACGAAACATCCAATGTCACCGCACTGAAATGTCACATACTCCTTACGCTCTATCTCAATTTATTCTCACGACTCCAGAGCTGTCTGTGGTTTCAGAGGCCTTTATGAGAAATTGACACATTTTATGTCAACTATTGCAATTGTAACAAAGGATTTTTAATCTGATTTGACAAGTTTACAGAAAGATCAATCGAAAGAGAAAAAACCTAAACATCTCAGAGTGCAGAGTTACAAAAAACATACCTTAAAAACCAACACATCGAAAACTTCTGTTGTGGTTTTGCTTCATATATTACATTTGTATGTCACTACTTGACCATAACCCACAATGGTCAATGAATCAGTGTCTCCAAAAATATAAAGTCTGTAGATAAATTGGAAGAAGTTCCAACCTATTGCAGAAAAGACCCATTTTAATACAAGAAATACAAGGTTAAATAGGAATCAAAGTGGACTCAATAACGCTAAGGAATGCTGAGAAAGCTAAAAACACAAGGAGGCATCAAAGAGTCAAATCTCAACATCTCTTAATAAATCAGTCTAATACCAGCTTATAACTGTTATCTTTCCTATCACAACAAGACAACAACAAACTTTAATTTTCGTAGGTTATAATATCAACAGTCAGCTGCTGCTCATTCAAAGTGCTGCAGCCAGAGTCCTGACCAACAACAGGAAGTGTTGCATATAAAGCACCGACTGTTTTTGACCAGTAAATCCTCCCAGTTTTGCTGGTCAGATTTTTTAACACCTGAGGTCTGCTCAGTCAGTGTTTGCAGGATGAGAACTAAAGAAACGGAGGCAGGATTTACTTTGTATGCAGCTCTGGAAACAGAAACGATCATTTAAAAGATGACAGAAAGCACAAAACTTACTCACGAAGACCAAACTGTTTCATTTTCATCATGTTTTAGCTTTCTATTTGCTAAAATTGGCATTTATTTAATGTTTCTTTTATTTAACTTTGTCTCAAGTTTGCATTTGATTCTTTGGGGTTTAATATGCGTTTGGTATTTCACTTCTCTGTTCCTTTGTTATCCTGTGTATGAATGGTGCTATAGAAATAAACTCACATTGCCTTGAGACCACATTACAATGTGATCACAAAAACATTATGTCAAAGCCGTAAAATAATCTACTTTTCTTTTCAAATCCTTCTGTCACAGTTTTAATGAGCAAGCCATTCTAAAGCACATAAATCTTTGTCAATTTTTTTCTACTTCAATGTCTGGATATGTCATCTAAATGAGAAAAAAATCCTAATTTAATTTCAAAACCTTAACGAGTTCTTCACTAATAGAAAGATTTTCTGACTTTAATTTGCAATACTTGAAATACATTGCAGTGTATTTGAACAAACAGTTCCAGATCACAAAACAATGCATGTTCTGACAATTTCAGCAACACCATCTGCGGGACAAAAGATTTTTTTCAGCTCAATCTCACATCATGAAGAAGGCTTTCTGTACAAGTCTTGGTAAGAGTGAAAGGTGCAAAAAGTCAGACTTTTGAGGGTTCGTGTCTCACAGTTAGGAAGTGATGTTTGTTCCAATTTCCTTAGAAATGAAGGCCTCTGCTGGAGGCTGTCAGACATCTTTATGCTGGGAAATTTAAGGCTTTCCACTGATGCTGAAAGGTTCTGACCTCCATATTTGCAGCCTAAAAGTTCCTGTAATTTTGCAGTTTGCTTTCTAGTAATTTACACTTCTCAGTAAAACTACAACAGTATATTCCTTATACACTATAAGTGGATTGTGTTCCTGTGAAGGCATGCTTGCTATGCTGAAATTAAAATGATGATTAACTAAAAATCCTAGGACGCCGGGATGAATATAATTGACTCTTCTTAGCTTCTGCACTGATGTGATTTGCTATTTCTGAAGCATAAACGAACGCTACCAGCTTGTGTGCTTTAGGACGATTGATAAATGCTACAATTTCTGAAGCACGGACTTTCTTTTCACCCACTCCTTTCTTTTTTTAATCTGTTTGGAAGTAATCTTCCCCAATTCTTCATCCTGAAAATGGACAAAGCTTACAGCTCTGCTTGCCTTGCAGTTACAACTCTTAGCTGATGGGGACTTTGGCCGAGCGCTGAGGCACATCAAAGCAACTGATGCAATGATGGACCGAGGGAAGAAACAGAGTTTATACTGTGTGTGAAACCCAGTCCCACAATGAGGATGTCAACAGACAGCCCATTTACTGCGATTCAGGCGGCTTATTTTCACAACCGGTGTTGCAGACTAAAAATATTTGGTGCCCTGATTCAATAAGCTATTACTGGGACAGGGAGTGAGGAGGGGGAGGTGGTGAGGGGCGGCAGCGGGCTTCAAACAGCCAGCTGTTTCTCTTTTATTTTTGTTTTTTGCTTTCTCATGTTCATGCTAATCTGCTCTGTACGAGTGAAAGAAAATAAGCTTAAGAATCGATAGCATGCACTTACGAGGATACTGTCATCAAAAACAAAATTGATACTAATGGGCCAATCTGCTCAGGCAGACGCGTACGCAGACACACACTGCATCTGCTCATGGGTGAAAGCTATAACATTCACTCCGGACTGAATTATTGAGCATCAGTAAACAGGAAGAGAAGTTCCCACTGGGTTTATGAGAGTATAAATGTGTGTGTGTGTGAGAGAGAGAGATAAGTGGTGGTAAAAAGCTTCCAGAAGGATGTCCCATATTTGTTCATCTTTTCCAACTAACAGCACATGTTTAACGGCATGTTTTGGAAGTGCTTGTGCCGAAAGACTTGAGAATGAAATACAATGAAATTAAAGTTACAGCTACAATCTATTGTGTTTTACTAGGATTTTCCATCATAAAGCACATAATTGAAGTGGGAAGAAGTGGCAAAATATTATATTCTAACCGCTAATCTTAAGTGTTATTCATGAATCTGTCAAATTTTAACTTTATGAAAGATTGAGAAGAAGAAAGCCCTAAATGTCAAATTTACAGCCACTCATCGAGTAGAAACCACATCAAACCTGGAAGAAAGAGTCCTGGTCAAATGAAACTAAAATTTAACACTTTGGTTTCCCTTTAAAATGATTTATGTGGCAAAATACCATCACTGCTCATTATGTTTAATTCATATACAAAACCACTGCTGAAAGAAAACCTCTTTCTAATTAAATGAGATGGAAAGTAAACATTTTAGCCTACAATCAAATTTTGGGTCAAATAACACTCATATTTTAAAATGGTCTAGTTAAAGTTTGAATTTTAAATTAAACAGAATTTAAAATTCAAATTCAACAAAACAACCCATCCAATGTCACTGACCTTCAGCTATTTTATGATGAAGACTTTGCCAACATTTCATAAATTTACGGCACACCTTTGATGTTTGGCTTTTTTTTTTAAATGTGCAGGTTTATCACATGAAATGTCAATGAACTGCAGTAAAATGTGACAAAATCAGAAAACCTTGAGTGGTTTTATCTTTTTCTTAAAGATACTATCCAGGAATACACAAAACCATCCAGTTTACAAAGCACCCGAATTGAAAAAGGGTGTAGTAACTCATTACTTAACTGCATATCACAATATGACATTCTTGTATTGAAACACTTCTTGTGTCACAATTGACCTTCTAAAATTGTTTTCTGCAGTTTCTTTTTCCTTCAAGGGAATATATAAAATCCCTTGTGTGCCTCAATCTTCCTTCAGGTCTTCTTCCTGTTCAGTGTGGCTGGAAATGGAAACAAAAATGAGATTATTATCACTGATGACATCTACAATAATTCAAGGTAAAACACAAAACTTATTGACAAGATATAGCTCAGAGGACAGTGGATTCTTTACTTTTAGGTGTTTATTTTTTCCAAAGAGTTAGTCCACATCTTTGTAAATGGATTCATAAAAGCAATTGTGGAAATTTCAAAGATGCGTCTGAGAGCATCCGCAGCGAGCCAAGACAAGACGGCGACTGACAGATGACGTGTAAAATCGACAGGCCGTCTTAAAGCCTGCAGACTCACGTCTCAAATGACGCTGAAACAACAAGGCTCTGCCACCGAAGAACAAACACCTCGACTTTTTCTGGTCTCTGCTCTCGAGTGCTTGATGAAAGCCAAAGAGTTACACAGAGACATGAAGGCGTTTTGTGTGGGCTGCTGGAGTGTGTGGGATAAAAGCACTAAGGGTCCACACGCAACACAGGAGAAAGGAAAGAAAGAGTCAGGAGGTATCCTCAGACTCCTGGTGAACAGGAATGTTTCACTTATTTTAAGTCGGTTTGCAGAAAGGAGCTGGTAATGCTTCTCTTCTTATTAAATGTATAAACTGAAATTTAAAATTATGAGGTGTTTTTGCATTCAGCTTCAAAAGAATGCAAAAAAGGCAATATTTTTTAATAAAATAGCTTTTTTGCTGGTTTAGATGTTTGCAAATCGTATAAATTACAGCTTCTATATGCTGTGCTGCTTAATTCAGCTGCAGATGAGAACAAAGCAAAGACTAATGATCTTATTTTGTGGTTTAACATTGAACCAAAACTTACTGGTCTTGTTTTGTTTTTTTTTTTGCAAAAAGCAACAAAGTTTCTAGTTAGATTTGCAGCTCATGTTGAGGAAAATGTTTGCTCTAAACTGTCTGGCATTTTTATCCAAACAAAAGTTTGTTCAGGATCAACTATGCGTCCTGCTTACACAGTTATTCAGTTACATTCAGTTAAATGACATTCAAATGTAAAAACAAGAAAATGTAGAAACTGATACACTTCAAATTCATTTCGACTGAATCAGATCTGAATTCCGATTTAATCACATAACGTCTAATTTCATCCTAATTATAACTGCAGTCAAACTCAGATGATTAGTTATGTAATTCTGGGTGCACCGACTCCTTGATCAGAGGATTATGGTTTAACTGATAATCAGTTATAAAGAAGCTAAGCCAAAGCTGGATTTGCATTTGCGAATTAACAGGCATAAAAGCAAAGCAGGTTATTTCTGTTTGGGATCCTCAAACTGGAAGCCCCTTACAAGTTGGTCCAGCTGATTCTGCATCCACCTGTATGATGATTCATGAATTGCCACTTCCTCATTTAACACATTCTCTGTACCGACCCAGGAGTGCCTGGACCTCTGAAGACATGTGCATCCCCACAGGTGGACAGAGATGATGTCACAGCCACCTGTTGGCTTCAGCGTATGAACTGTCGCAACTGCAGATCCTGTTTACAAATCATAAAAATTTCTTACTGAAAGTAAAAGCTTTTTTTCTTGGGGCATCAGCGACTGAGATAAGATGTGCAATTATTTGCAATCACAGTGTTCTTCCATATCTAATCTGTCAACACTAAGAGGATAAAGGAAGGGGGATAAAAGGAAACAAAGTTTAATTACATGGCTTTTTATTTTTGCTGAGAATTAGTTGAACCTCAGTGCATCAACAGTTCTGGACGTCTGTTTTTGTTTCCCTGAGGAAAAGAAGACATATTATAGGATGACTGCATGTATATTTATCCCTAGAACAGCGAAAGAATCTCATCAAAAATGATTTGCTTTCAGGGCAGCGTCCAGTCACAGATGAAACAAGTTTTTTCCTGATTTTGCAGTTTGAGATGTCCGATAGTCATGGCTGGCAGAAGACTATAAAGTATTTTGATTAGTTAATACATGAATGTATTTATACTTTTTAATTTAAACTTCTGTGTTTATAGGAATTTTATCTACTAGACCAAAATGAAATGGTGCATAATGATGAAGTGGAAAGAAAACTATTACAAGTTCTAAAACCATTTTTACACTTTAAATCTAAAATAAAAACAAAATAAAACCCTGCAACCAGCTGCCTAAAGAAGCAAGGTAATTATAAAACAGACCATCTTCAGGAACTCACAGGAAAAAGGAAAACCTACCTGAGGAAGAAGCAGAGCTCTTCAGCTCAGATGAGATGATTTGTTGAAACAAATGCATTTCATTCCTATAAATGACAGTCAATAATCAATATTGATTATTGAAAGAAACTGGATTTCCAGTTGGCAGTTTCCCAAACGTCACGTAGAGGAAATGGCAAAAGATGCTCTGGTTAGACGAGACCAAAATGTAAATTTTCTTACTTTTGAATACCAGAAGTTGAAAAACTAAAACTTAGGTCAAACTCGAGGTTCGCAGGACATCTCCGGCCCGCCTCAGCGATTTATTTGGCCCTCTAAACATCAAAGAGCCACATAAATAAAGAGTTTTGTGCATAAATTTCATTTTAACAATCAAGTCAAATCGGTTTTTATTTGTAGTGTCAAAGTAAATCAAGGTGAAAATATGCTAATTTCAAGAATTAATCATCAAATCCAGATAAAGATAAAATATTTCAACAGTACATTCTGCCACAACAAACCTTTAGAGAACATTAGTGACCTTGGTGAGGTGTAAAATAAAAATGAGTCATGTACCAAGCATTTCTATTTTTAATGTTTGAATGCATAAAAGGAGGCAATTTTAAGGTGCTAAATTGCATTCAGACTCTTTTAAAGGGTCGGAATGCATTTCCAAGGAATATGGTGCCAATTTATGGCACAATAGAGACTATGTTGCCTTTAGTTGTTTGGTTATTTAGGCGTACCAGGAATCACCGGCAATGTTGAGATTAAAACTTGTTACAGGTGCCAGTTCTTTACGATTGTATTTCTGCTTCCAGGTGAAAATGAGAAACCTTTCACAAACTGAGGATGACGGGTTATACTTTTTGGATGTTAGTTTCTTCCCTCCCTTTAAGCAGTAGCTACCGCATGCTGAGAGAAGAAGAAAATGCAGGTGGAGTGATTTTGTTCCTGGCAGTGGGAGCAGTTAAAATCCAATCAGATGAATCAGTGAGAAGAACAGTGGGAGCCTGAGGCCTCCACAGGTCAGATTCAACTTCTCTGTAGTTACTCACTCCAAGGTGCAATCAGACAAGACCAGAGCAGGAGACAGAAAAGACAGGCCCATCCCCCTCTGACTGAACGTGAGCTGCTCTCACTGTATGAGGAGCACAGATTACAGCACACCAAGCTGATAGAGCATCTATTTATTTCAGAAACTTTAATACTGTGATCACTGTAAATGTCTTGGTCATACTTCTATTTTTTTATTTATTTATTTTTTTTTACATCTTACAAAGACAGTGAATCTGGGATGTAAACAGTATTGTTCAATCGTGTAAAACTTCTGGTCCTCTCTTCATGCTGTGTGCTTTATTTTCTGAGTTTGTTCCTGGAAGAGGAGCGAACGCAGCGCGTCACGACACAGCAGCGCAGCCTGACGATCCTCCCTCTCCTGCTGCAGTCGCCGACCTCGCAAGCTGTGCGTGACGAGCATCCCGTTGAAACGTGCAACATCCCGTCTGGTCTTTCCTTTCCCCACCTGGTCAGTGGTGCATTAAGGAAAAGCAGGTTTTCTGTTTTATGAGGGGGAATAAAATTAAGCATCCTCCATTGTTGAACGGCAGCCGCACAAAAACATCTGGACAAAAAAAAAAAAAACTGCACTGGAATGTAAATTAACCCTTATTATATCCAAAATGCGTGAACAGTGTGCAAAGGATTTCCAAAACAAAATGGACCTTCTAAACATCTTTACATTCACATTTCAAACATCCTTCCTGAAAGCAAAACAAAACAGAGAATTTATGAGTAAACTGGAACTTAATACAACATTTACAGATTAAAAAAGAAACATTACTGGTTTACAGAAAGAGTTTTTGTATAAGATACACTTTGCACGATATATTTTGTCATTCTTCATTGCAGAAACAAAAACCACAGTTCTTCCCATGTACAGAAACTTAATTAGTTACTAAACATTTGCTTGAATTCAGCAGAAAACAAGACTTAGTGGATCAATAACATCCTCTGGGCCGATTTCTACAGATGCTTGTGAAACTGTTAAAATCAGATGAAACTGTAATTATCTACTGGTGTAACTAGAGATTCTTAAAACAGAACCGAGACTCCTGCAGAGAGAGTCCACTCTGCTGGCTTCTCTCTGCAAAACAACAGAGCTGAACGAATATTTTGCCTATAATAATAAAACATTACAATTCTTTAAACTCATTTCACTCTACATTCACGTTTCTGGAAATGTGAGGTGTTCACCTCAACAATTATACATATCAATGCACTCAGCATTTATAAGAACGGGGGATGATAACTAACTATTTGAAAGAGTAAAGCGTTTCCAGAACACACCTGCATGGAAAAAACAGCAGCTCTTAAAAGTAAACACACCTGTTAAAATGTCGGCTTCTTGTGATGTATTTCATAACTCCTTAAGAGGAAGAAATGATCTAAATAAAAAAAAACTGCTACTACCTTGTTGCTTAAGTGTGCAAACAACCGGACCAATAATTTGTTGAACTATGTTTTGATTTAGTTTCAGCATTCGGTCTTCTTGAGGTCACCCTGCCATCGATCACAGAGACTCAGATTAAGTGTGAATAACATTTCTGTTCTCAAATGGTTTCTTGAAAGGCTGGCATAGATTTAAACACAGTGGAGTCAAAAGTGGCTAAATGTACCTACTGGCAGGACACAAAATTTAAATAGAAAATGCAAAGGTTTGTCAGTTTTTTCCCTTATTATAGTTTTACAATAAACTACACTTTGATGAAACTTGTATATCAGTGGAAGCCCTTTTTGGTCTAAAACATCAAAAAGGGCTTCCAACTGTTGCCTTATGAATGTGAACAGGAGATATAGTCACTCTCTGATAGATATGGAGAACTTTTGTAATGAGGATCCTGCTAAAAAGACCAAATGCTGAAATTCAGTTTAAACAATTTATTAGTATATGGGAATTCTCACTAATGGCAGCCATCCTAATCATTTTGTTTTTTTAGTTGAATTACATGGAAGGGACACTTTTGGAAATGATCTCCGTCTCACAAAAATCACCCATTTTAACAGGAGTGGGTAAACTATTGAGTTCTCTCTATTAACTGGCTTTGTGGCTTCTAAGCTTTGCTTTTCAAGGTCCTTTAGGTCAAATTTTCTCACAAATAAAAGGCACACATATCCAAACACTCTTGTGTGAAGGCTAGCCGTCTCACGTTACTGACCTGATTGCTTTCAGTCACCAGACACATTTAACTCCTCACAACAGCAAACTACAAAAATTGTGAAGGTGGTTTGAAACAAAACAAAAAGTGTGTTACTGTATCCAGATGAAGATCAAGAGGCTTTCCCTTCTTTATCTGCTCCCCAGTGCTGTTTCAAAGGCACATCCCTGCTCTGCCTGATAATAAATGACCACAAAGTAGTGAGTGTGTGTTGTAGGCACGGCTGGGTAAGACTTATGGACATTCCCACTATGGCAACACATTTCAAATCCTTAAAAGTTATGTACTTCTTAAACATGTGCAAATTTACTTCCCAACAACATTTTGTCCCCTTAAACCTGAGGAAAACTGTAGATGTAATGCACAAATAAACCTCCACGCACACAGACATCCACACTAAGTCTGCTCCTTTTTTTGTTTGTTTGTTTTTTTTATAAAAATCTACCTCTGATTGTCTCTAAATGCTGGCTGCTTATTCTTCTCGTTCTTATTCCTGTTCTAAGAGTTTTTGTGGCCTTGAATCAAAGAGCATTTGGAAAAAAATAAAATAAAATACAAGTGATAAGCAGCACATTTACAAATCATGACATTTTTCACTGGTCACCACTAGAGGGCACTGTAAGCAACACAACAGCAGGCTTGGGCACCACAAAACACAACATAATACAGAATAAAAAGCATATAGTCAGGCTTTAGGTAGAATTAGGAAAGAAAGCCATTTAAATAATATAACTATTGACCGTTAGTCTTGAAGAACTAAACACTGATGTCAGTTGTACTGTATGAATAGAACAACTCATTTATGGGAATTATAATACAAGGAAATAAATTAACCTGGGATTAAAAAGACTCCAAACGTTCCAGCTCGGAATTGTCTCCGTTATTTATAATCCGCCGGCTCTCTATTTTCAGGCAGTGGGAGGATGAGTCCTTATTTTCTCGTTTCTCAGAGGAAAATGATGAAGGCTTTTTTTGCAGCTGAGATTTGAATTCTTGCAAAAATGCCCTTTTCCATAACAGGTGTTCTGTTTATCCAGCTTCTTTTCAAATACCTCCAGGAGTCCGGACCTCTTCCTATTGCTTTTAAGACACGTAGAGCTGAGATGGACCAATTAACACAGGATCAGTCTTGGTCTATGGCACTGCTTGCCAATGGCTTTTAATACACTCCTCTTTCAGGTGTGGGTGTATACAAAAAAAGATCTGAATGAAGGAGGAGTAAAATGGAAAATAAACATGTCTGAAGCTGGACGTCCAGTGATTTTAGACGCTAAAAATATTTAAAATGGAATCCTTTAACGTGAGATTAAAACCTCCTTCTCCTCTGCTGTGGCTTCAGATCTGTAATGTGTGTTTGTTTGCTGCAGCAGCAGACCTGCTATATACATACTTGTGTGGCGTTTCAGTGGTTTTCTTTTAAGACGGGGTGTCTGAGGCGTCTTCGATTTGGTGCAAACAGTGTTTGCTTTGTCAGAGCAGCTGAGGAATGTTTTAGAAGAAGAGGGAGCAGGGAAATGAGAAAATTGGTGATGTTAGCGGATTCTCCATTTTGGCCACTGGAATAAGTGTGAAAGTCAACATCTTGAGACTGAGGAACAGGGGGAGGAGATCTGTTTGGCCACTGAATGAAAATCGGGGGAGTCAAACAAGTAGAAATGAGTTCCACAAATTTCATTCTCCTGACTTAAACAGAAAGTCATGATTTAGAGGGGATTACAAACCAATTGAAGATTGTAAAAAGGGTCTGGTGAATCCCACTGCCTCTTCACGAACAGTGTGTGTGCAGATGAGCGATGTATGCGAGTGTGAGGGGTTCAGATGAGGTCAGTTCATGTCGATAGTGTTGAAGACCCACTCTGTGAACTTTTTGAGCTTGGCAGCTGATGTTTGGGATTCCTCCTGAAGTCTCTGGTTGTCCTCCCAGAGCCTCTTGATCTGAGATTGAAGACGCACCTTCTCCTCCCGCTCCTGCGCAAGAAGAAAAGGTCAGAAAGTAAATGTAAAGTAGTTGTTCAAGGAAGAGCAGCAGGGAATCAAGTTTTCTCACCAACATGTTCAGTGCTATTCATGCAGCCCTCCATTTTTTCTTCTACTTTTTTCTACATGGTTTTCAAACCATTTTACAAACAAAAAGCTGAAAAGTGTGGTGTGCATATGTATTTTGATGTCTTTTGGGGTATATCTGCACCATCTCTGCTCTTCTTAACCAATCCTCAAGCTCAGTCAATTTTCAAGTCTTGACACAAATTCCTATTTGGATTGAGGTCTGTACTTTCACTGGACCATTGAAACACATGAATAAGACCAACTTGTACTTCTAGGGTTGTAGTCTTCCTCATATGTTCATCCTTACAACATGATGCTGCCACTACCATGCTTCCCCGTTGCTCAAAGTGAGGCGCACAATTAACATTTTGTATTTAAGGCAACATTTTCAAGTAGCTGCATTTCCAGCGTTAGAAAATAAAATTGACTTCACCTCTACACTTTAAAACAGAGAAGTTTTGTGTGTGTTTATATAAACATTTTCTGCCTGCAGACAGTGAGTCACAGCCTGACTGAATAGCTTTGTGGGCCGATTTTTTTTAGTTGACATTTCAAAAACCCTCCACAAGGTACAACAAAAGTAAACATTTTATTAGGGGATTTAAAACTTTGTGTCGTATCTAAACCAGAACTAGTTTCAGAATTATAAATCTTGATTTAAGCAAATCTAGCTGTGATAAAGTCCCATTTGGATTTTTGTATGACCATGTCCTTTATCTGTAGTTTATGATGTGGTAAATCAATAATGAATCACATAATTTAAAAATAAATTAAATAAAAAACTTTTAGTTTACAAAATGAAGAATAAAGACTGGAAATATTGTTTTTATTTTTTATGTTCAATTGTCTATTTTACCCCTTATTTATATAGATTTTAAATCTTTTTTTTTTTCATTTCTAGATTGCTTAGACATCCTGTTCACAATATTAAGTCCCTAAAAAGCCAAAAATATCTTTAGATAACTGTCAGAAAACACAACTTATTAGGTATAAACTGTAAAAATCTGTTTGAAATTCAAATAAAACATTTTCTTCAGTATAAAATGTAACAATCGGGGAAATTAGCTCAGACTAGAAGCAATACAAAATATTTGTTTCTACACAAATAAACTAATGAAATAAAGTTCATTCTGAGGCTTTCTGGCAGAGTTTTTCAACACTGGAAGACCGACCTGAATATTAATACGAGCTAATTTAGTTATATATATAAATATGCTAGCTATTTTTATTTTCCTACCCTTCCTATTCCAACTCATGTAAGTTATCATCCAAGAGGCACTTCAAATGGAAGAGTCGATGCAGAATACAGAAGTTTTATCTCACCTTCTTCAGGTCCTCCTGTAGCATCTTCACCATGGCCTCCAGTTTAGTCACCTTTCTCTCCAGCCCTATGTGACCCTCGCTGCAGAAATGCAAAACATCCCAGAAAGTAGGTTAGTAAATCAAAAATCTGCTAAACGGGGGAACATTGTCACATTTTAGAGTGACTCAAAATAAAAACCTTGATGAAGGTCGTGATAGAGGAGCAGGCTGCAGCTCTATGTGTGGCTGCTGAGGACTGGATGCTCCACTGGTTCGGTGGTTTGCATCTCCAAACACATAACTTCTCTGGACTGGAAGGCGTGAAGGACAAAAGTTCAAGTTATTTTAAATTCTGCACTAACAGAAGTCTGTGTGTTGATTAGCTTTAAGGTGTAGAATAAGTATTTTTTGTTTTACTGTAGTGTGTGTTTCTCTCATTCTCGAAGGTACTGGCCACATCCACCAGGTGAGTCCACTCGAGAGGACTGTCTCTACCTGAAGAGGGGAGGGGCATCAGCTCCTGAGGGAGGGGTCCCCGATGACGCTCCACCAAATCCACCAATGACGTGTCAGACGCCGAAAGATCACCTGTTAATGTGGAAAAGAGCACAAGTCTCACTTCATCAGGCAATTCACCTTTCCAGTCAAGAGGGGGCAGCATTTCCACAATCATATTTAAGTTGTTCTTTTTCTTTTTAGATGTTAAACAATTTTAATGTATTATTACTGTTCATTTGGAAAAGCTTCAGATTAAGAATATTCATTTTAATGAACATATTCTTCTGTAAGAGGGATACAAATGTTACAGAAAGAAAAAGAAATAAAGAAACTGTAAACAACATTTATCCAAATTTAGGCTTTTAATTAAATGTTAGATTGGACTTCATCGCAAAACTGTGCAGTTTGAATATCAGTTTCAAAAACTATACAGAATTAAAAGTATTTTAAAGGATTTTGAACACCTGCATCCTGTACAAAGAAAATCTTTCTCCTTACCATGAAGTTTAACTCCCAGCTTGTAGGAAGGCCGCCTGAGGGGCACGCCGCGAGTTGTGGGAGAGCGAGGAAGAGTGGAGCAGCTGAAGAGGACGTCGGTCGCGAGCGCCGGCTCAGTCACCGAGTCGCTCAGCGAGGGCAGCCGCTGACCACGATAGATGCTCTCGTCTGACAGGGTGCGGTGCAGCGAGCGGCGACGGCTGAGCGGCTGGCTTGGAGGAGACTTCTGGCCATGCTGAGTCGGATCAAAGGACGAGAGAATGAGATCATTTAAATCTTATTTTTGTTCCCTATCCGTTTCTGTACAAAGTTACCTTTTCCTTGTGTTTTCTTGGTGGTGGTGGAGTGTCATGAGCAGGGTGTCTCTTAATATCTTCCTCCACAGTAGATTTAGCATGAGTCTGGGGAGAGTGCATGTCTCTAAGTGATGGTCTCGCTGCCGGCGTAGGGGCCACATCTCCACTTTCACCTGGAGATTTCCTGAAAGCATAAAGTAAATAAGAGAAATAGAAAAACATGACATACTTGTAACAAAATAAAGTTCCTGCTGTACAATCCTCAGCCACAAGGAGGCAATAAAGCAACAGATATGTCATTAATGAATGAATTCTGATGATACTTGATTGTAATGAGGATAAAAATGCTCTCAAAACGTTAAAAAAAAGAATAATAAGAAGGTTTAGGAGAAACTCCAACTATATATGAAATAAAAAGACAAATATATGTAAATATTTACATTTTTAACAGAACCTTGCTCAAGTTTACTCTCGGGAAACACTGTTAAAAATTTTCTGTAATGTTTGTCCAATCTCCGCTCTTTCTTACTTCCGTGTGTCTCCAAAATCCACAGAGTTGATGGTGGAGCCAGGCTTCCTCCAGCCAATCAGATACTTGGACTGGGCTCCCTGACGGGGGTAGAAGGTCTTTGGCCCGGGAGAGACTGAAGACTGGGACGAGGGAGAGGTGGCTGAAGACGATGACTCCTCCCTGGGTGAGCTGTGGCCAGAGTGCCTGAGGAGAAATCAAGGAAATGAGACATCGTTGAGGCGTAACTATTTTTATCTTACACTTATGTCAGAAAGGAGAGAACAAGGAGTAAATGTTTCACTCAAAACAAAATCAAATATCAAATAATATTCATTAGTAGAAAGACACTTACAGCAACAGCCTCAATAGGGCTGGATATAAATGTGTCCCATACTTATAAAAAAGTATTAATAAAAATTTATTTTAAACTAATGGTGGGAGCGATATGGGCTTAAATTTTTATCCCGATATTTTGTGGAGCTTTTGTAAAAATGACGACACAAAGTATTACTTTTGTACGTAACTATATGGCTATGACTGCATGTTACAGCGATCATAACCCCACAAACATAAATACATAAGCATACTTCTTTTGATACTTATGACTGATGATATTCATTTAATCACCTTTATTGGACAAACAGTGGAGAAAAACAGAAAAATACAAAATATGGATTATACAGACAGTTTTAGGGGATTTTTTTAGTATCATTAGTTGGAATTTTTCCAATAGATGATTGGATATTTTATTATTTATTGTTAATAAGTGATAAATGATGCAATAAATGCTCACCACTATTTTAAACCCAGCATCCCTATTCCTATAAATATGTGCCACTTTGTGCTGATTTATCACATTTAACCTCTATAACAAGCACAAGAAAATGAAGAGGCACATGATGTACTTATTGCTTAAACATATTAGCAGCAGCCACATTTATCTTGGCTACCTCCCTCTCTTACACTCCACAAGTCTGACGGTAAACAACTATAGTGCAACTCTGTCTGGACGATGAAATGAACTTGCTCCAACAGGAAGAGCCGGACATAGGAGCTCGCCTCAGCTTGAGACAAGAGCTCAGCTTTGAAAAGTAGGACATGTGTCCCATATTTCCTGAGGCCTAATGTGGAAAGATAAGAGGGAATTAATATTACTCCTTATGCTTGGTTTCCAGCAAAAGTCTTGCTGAGAAGGAGGCTGTCAGCAATGTGATCTTTTTAGGTAAAAAAATTTTGGCCTGAGTAATGAGAACAGGAATCACGCTGCAGTGGTGAGGCATGTGCTGAGGTTATAAGTTATAAAATAAAAGAGTCAAATACAAAAATCAAAGTTGAGCTTAGGTAAAGAGGGGAAACGTTTATGTGTTTTTTTCTAAGAGCTAGACATATATGTTGTGTTTTTATAACTGTATGTCAACAGTGGCATATTAAAGTTACTTTGTTTACTTTGGCTGCTTGTAAGCAGATAGGAGTCGACTGAGTCCATAAATATGGTAATAAAAAGCAGTGAAAACAAAAAAAGCATCTACAAAATAGGCCAAGTGAGTTTATGACTTTAAAACCTCAGTTTGTGTTTTGACATCTGCTTTAAATTGTTACCTTGGCCTCTGGCTGGATCATGTGTCTACCAGCTTAACCAGGCCCAAAACGTGCGCAAGAATTATTATTCAGAGTACGAAAAAGTCGGGCTGTATTTCAGAAATAGTTCAACCAAACAGTGAATTTCTTTTCTCTCCCGACGGTTTTTTGTTGGTCTAAAATTTATAAACAAGTCCCAAGTCACAGGGTTTATTTTTCTACTATTTCAGTTATCCTATTCTCTGGTTTTGATTCTTTATAAAGTGGAGAAGAGTCAGCTCAGAACTGCATGAATGGAGATCTCAGGAATGCAGGTCGCCTGCCAAACACAGACAGATTGAGCTAGTTGTGATGACATAAGCCGAGGTTCAGACCAGTTTCATCTGTGTAGGGGAAGGAGGATCAAGATGGATTTCCATGTTGTGTCAAATATCGAAAGATACAATATGGGAAAAAATTGAACAATATGACATGCTGGTAGAAGTTTTAACACAATGTACTGTTACATCAAAAACATTGAGTGCCTTATAAATTTCTAATTTTGTCATCTTATGAATCATAAATCACTTCATTGTTTCTCAATGTGATTTTATGTGATTGATGCAGAGTATCACATAATTGCGAAATGTAAGGAAGGGAATATTTTAACAAAATATTTACTTATTCTCACCATCTCCTACAGTTTTCTTATGCACTGCAGTTTGAATTATTTATTAAATAGTGAATAAATGTGATAAAAACATTCAATTAGATGATTTTTCTTGACATTTTGTAGCACAGAAGCTAATGCTGTAGGGGGATGTGACATGAAAAAGTTTGGGAGGCTGTGATTTAGCAAATGTTTTTATATAAACCTGAAAGAAAGTGTTGATAAATGCACTAAATGACTAGAGCTTCACCAAAAAAAATAGGCTAAAAGTCAAATCTGAAAAGTAGTTTTGATCTTTTTCTTTTCAGATTCAAATTTTTTCCGTAAATTTTTTTTTGCCCCAATGTTAATTTTTTTATTTCAGTGTCAACATTTCTGATTTCAGATTCAGTTTTGTTTTTATTTTTTTCCAGTTTCAATTTCTTATTTTTAGTTTCAAAACATTATGGCCATAATTTGGCTCCATACATGTGCATCTAGTAATGTGCTCAGGGTAAATTTTGGTGAGCCAGAACTGTGACAAATATATTAGAAAACCACACAGACTGATGTCCCTTTTCTTTCGAAGGCTGTCTGACTTTTTTAATTAAAATTAGTTCAATAATATTCTGACTGATATGAACCGCTACATCTTGCCCAAACTGACCTTGAGTGCGATCCACCATCACCCAGGCTGAAAGTGCTGCTGTCTCTAACCAGGAGATGAGTTGGTGGGCTTCGACCCACGGACTCATGGCTCCTTTCTGACGGAAGCCCTGGAGACTCGGCAGCAGCAGGCGACCTCTCCAGCATCCTACGTCCTCCCTCGGTCGGACTGTGCCACGGAGACAAAGAGCGCTCCCTGCTCTCTCTGCTCCCACTGGGGGCCAGCAGAGAGGTGGTGCTGCCATGGTGGGAGTGGGGGTGGGAATGATGCGAGGCTCCGTAAGAGCCGGTGTCGATGCCGCTGTCGGCCGAGGCTCCCTGGAAGTAGCCTCCTCCGCCCAGGCCGTTGGGTTCAGGCTCGCCCTGGTCGCCACTGGAGCCGCCGGTTCCCAAGTCGTACCATTTGTCGCCATCGCTGTGGCCCCCACTGGAGGTGGTGCTGGACAGTGTGTTACTGCTGGAGTGGCCAGAGTACGGGCCGTCTGACTGCCAGGGCAAAAAGACCCAATAAAAACAGTTAAGTTTCCATTAATAGAGAAAGCATGAGGTGTTATATAAGCAAGTGACCCATTGTGACAAGATGTTATACAAGTACTAATATAATTAAATAAAAGTTTGACATTTTACAGAACAAACTGAACTGTCAGGAGACTTTATGAGGAATGCTTCACATCCTGACCTGGCTGCCCTTCTTTGGGGAGAGGTGAATGACTTGTTCCTGCCGCTGGATGCGAGGCGCTCCAGAGTAGCCCTGGCCAGATTTGGAAGCTGGAGCCTCTGCAACAACATCAAACCAAACCAGAGTTGGTGACAAACACGCACACAGACCCTGCAGCACCGAAAAGCTGCTGATAATTCAACAGATCATTATGCGACAAAACCGCCAGGAAGCACCCAGAACTCTTATTTTCATTTTGCCTTTTCATCGTCTATTAACAAAATCCCACATCGGTTGTCATCAAAAGTAACGCACATCAAATAAAAATGCATCCCCCCTGCTGGCTTTGCTTGCTCCGGGCAAGATGTGCAGCATGAAAGTCCCGAAGTAAACCTCGACATAAATGGGACTATTGTGTAATTGTCTATCTGTTACGCAATAAGATACACAGAGCAGGCAGTTAATGAGCACAGCAGCATGAGACACGAGGAGAGCTAGGGGTGGAAGCATAACATCTGTTGGGATGAATCTAAAAATGTAGTTTCCATCTCATTTAGAATATTTATTACTTTGTACGGTTGCACTGCAGCCCACAGGCTCTCTGCACTAATTAGAGCTGGGTGTAAGCCGGACTGTTACAGTTCCTGTGGATTTAGATCTAGTATGCTGTAAATCGCAACTAATTTAAACTTGCTTTAGATAAGGCAAACTAAGCACTTTAGTATTTAAAACTTTCCAATAAATGAAAATGTTCTCTTGATGAATCATCTAAACAAGATAAGAAGTATTTTTACAGTGTCCCTTGAACCGTTTCACATGTCTTTATACTTCAACCTTAAACCTCCAGGTATTATTTTATAGTGATAAACACAAATAAGCACAGAGTCATAAACTGGAAAAAAAATTAAAACACCTCAACATGCATTTAAATTCAATTATTATAAAATTTGACCCCGAAAACCTGTAAACACCTGATGGGGAGGATATATTTCCAACAGTGCTGCCATACATCCTCATTTCACCTGGTAATGTTTTTTTAGGGATGTTTTTTTTGTTTGTGTAAATAAGCTGAGCTCTGAAATTTTTGGCATGTGTAGGAGAAGGAGTTGAATTAAGCTAAGGAAATATAATTTACATTCTTAATTGTCATTTCAGACATTGCTAAAGCAAAGCATAATAAAACAAATATATTTGTTATGTTGCCCATCGCAACAGGTAGAAACATACCCCAAAAGACCAAATGGTGCCTTTACAAGGTGTTCTCTCATGTACATCACACTTTTCAGATTTTTAGCTAACTTGAAAAACATTACTCTTTTCCTTCCCCTTTACAATTATGCATTAATTTACGCTGATCTATCATTAAAATTACACAAAAATTAACTGGAATGTATGGTTGTAGCAAAATAAAATGTTGAAATGAACGAAGTGCACTTTGTGTGACTTCTGATATTTCTGGACACGGAGCCTGGCCACATCATTCTTGCTGAAAGCCAGAGGGTCAGGAGTTAGAAATGGGAGGAAAAGGAAAAGACAGAACTCTAAACCACACTGCAACAGAGAGGGCTTTTTGAAGGCTGGAATCTTGGCTGACTTAAGCTCAACTGCCCCAGTACGGATCGTTCCTCCCTAACCAATCATGACATAAATGCTATAAACAACCACAAAATGAAAGACTGAGGCCTTCAACTGTGATTGTGGTGGTCAGCAACAGGTTGAGGACATGGCTGAAACTAAATTGGTCAAAAATCAAAAGCAACATTCTGCTTGGAATCAGAAGAGAAAGGCAGACTTTGGGGAATGCATAAACACAACTAGAATATAAAGAGAAAGATTTTAAAAAGTGGATCGGAGAATTCTTGCAACGGAGAATTAAAGGACAAATGAGAGGAAAACAAAAAACAATGGAAAATGAGGGACAGACAGGAAGCAGGGAGGGAAGGAAAGGCACACAATGATGGTGTGTCGACAAGAAGGACAGACATGTCTTCCGCTTCTCCTTTAATAAGCCTTACAATAGAAAGGAGTGTATGAGACGAAAATCCATTCACTCTTACAATTGAACAACAAAAAGAAAATCTATTTTTTTCTGGCAGATTTTATTATACATCCACCTTTTTTGTGTTTGCAGAGACATTAAGAGATCTGTAAAGGCTTTATAATTCACAACTGGCAGGGGAATGGGAGGAGGAACGAGAAGGGTGATGGGAGGGCTAAGAAAGGCTGCTGTCAGAGTTACAGCTTATGTAATCACTATTCACATACTCCTCTGTACCTGTCAGTTCAAAGGGTTTTAAAACACAGATAAATATGGAGGATTTCTTTCGTGCACCGTTGCATACATAGGCCTGTCGCGATAAACGATAAATAAATTAATCGCACGATAAATTAAAACTAATCGACCTCATTTCAATGATCGTCTTTATCGTTTCTTCCTGCCTTTTTCTCTTACTGTTGATGACACTGAATGAAAAAAGGCTCAACTCCAGTGCTCTCCACTGACCCTCCCTTCCTTAGTGTAATGCCCACTGCACGATCTTATGTCGCCGATTGTCGGCCCATTATCAAAACCTAAGAGCCCACACATTAGCCGACAGAAATCCGAGGTATAACGGTTCGATCGAACCGGGTGGTGTCCAACAATGGACATAAAATAATAAGTCCAGTTCACTAATTTTGAAACCAGGCATTAATCAATTCCTTACTACAATCTACCTGCAATGCATGTGGCTACTGTCTACGTAAAGTCCTGACTGAATGAAAACCATTATAACCTGTTTATGTCACGTTAACGAAGAACAACTGAAAAGTTACCAGGTTTTCTGGTAGAAATTTTGCTCCAACTCTTCCCCTAGTTATTTATATTTTCTTTGCATGAAATGTTGAATAAACATTCATGTTTCCACATATCCTCTCCGATGTCTGCTGGATTCGGGTTGCGCTGTGTCAGCTGTTAGGGATTCCCTCCGTGTTTCCCCTCAGAAGAGCACGGAGGAGAATCCGAGCGTTCTGATTGGCTACCGGTCACATTCAACAGGCTGCGTTAAGCTCCCAGTCTGGATAAATCCTTGATTTAGATCAGAGCGGCCACAACGATCTACCGTAACACACAAGGGACAATCTCAGAACGAAGAACGTTCTAAGATTGTCGTTTGGGGTAAAAAATCCTGTAGTTTGAACTATTGCATCAGGCAGTCGGATGTCTTCTCTATTTAAATCTAATGATTACTGAAGGGCAATATACTATCATAAGCTGCACTCTTTTGGTTGAATGCAGTATTCATTTCCACTTTGGCTTTATGTTTAGTTTTTATTCAAGTACATTTATTGTTTAATGGAGACTGAGAATCTATTTTATTTTTGGTTTTGGTTGTTTTATTTATTTTGTGTATCAGTTCCAGTGTTAAGTGTCTTTTGAAAGTAAAGTGCATCTATCTTTGGCAGGAAATCACATGTATTATTACGTAATTTCCATTAAATCAGTGTAAAAAGGTCTTCAAACAATATTATCGTTCATCGCAATAATTTTTTGAGACAATCGCCCAGCAAAATCTGTTATTGTGACAGGCCTATGCATACATCAACTGCACCCACTCTTTGCATGTTTAAAATTATCATTTGCATACATTTGCATTCAGACACATATACCAGCAAACAGAACCAGAGGGAGACTACGCACATTTGAGCTAGTTTTCAATAACATAAATTATTGAATATGGTTTCATCAAGTTAAGACTTTCTAAGACCATTAGCAAACAGAATTGTACAAAAGCAAAATGCATATTTTAAATAGTGGTTTTAGTCTTTTCAGGCACAGAATGTAGCATTCTGCAGATTGGCAACGCAAGACAGCAGCGAATGTCATCCAGCCTACAGGCAATGAATATGTACTTTACCCTAGCTAACAGGCTAGCTAGGGTAAATTAGCACCTATCTAGCAGTAGTTGCAATCGCCTTCTGTCACAGAACGCAATAATTATGTTTATGGGTGATTCAAACATTTGCCTGACAGAAAAGTACACCACAAAATTTAAGACCTGTAATTGACGTAGTTATGGCTAAATTGCATTTTTTAAATAATCTCAAGACATTTTAAGGCTTTAATTTTAGATACATGAATTTAAGTCTTTCTAAGCATGCCTGGACACCCTGGAATAGTTCACCTGTTGACCCTCGTTCACCGCCACCTTCCTCCATTCTTGACCAGTTGGGGGTGGATTTCCCGCTCGATCCGCCCTCTCCAGCCGCTTCTCGTCTCTCTGATGACATGGGTGAATGTCGGCTGCTCGCAAACCTGTCAAAACAGAAAATCACACAAAATCTGAGGCAATACTTTTTAAACTTGTTACAAGTGATTAAAGATGCAGAGCAAGAAAAGACAGGAAGACATAATAAAAACTTGCCTCAGGGCTTTAGTGGGTGGAAGTAAAGTAAGAGCACCTTACTTTGAAATATTACAACTGTCTGACAAATATACAGTATTTTCAATGTAATTTACTTCTGTGGGCTGAAATGCCAACGTCTATATATTCAATGTCCTCTAAATATGAAAAGTGGTGATTGCACCATCGCTTTTATATCACCAAAATAAACAGAGGATGAATAATCAGGACAAACCAAGTGCCTCAGGGCAAGTTAAAGGTTTACTTTAATGTGTCATATCCAAATGTTGAGTTTGGATACGACACATTCGACAAATAATTCCTGTGTCGTTCTTACTGCTCAGGCATGGACTTCTGCCTCCAGTGCGCAGAGCTTCCAGAGGCCTCACTGGAACAAGACAGGTTGCTGGGAGAGCTGCGGTTATGAGGCGAACGACCCAACGCCAGCGAGGAGGCCAGGCTGTAGCTCTCACTGCCAGGAGACATCCTGCAACACAAACAAGGATAGAGATACACTTTGGAAATGTATTCGCTGGAAATTGAGAAACAATACTGAACGGAAATACTAAAAAACATGCCAGAGAAAATACTACCGCAAGTCGTCGCAATCAATTAATTAACTGGAGTGTACAAATGCTAAAAAAGGTTATTTACTGAAAGAAGAACACACTCATATCAGTAGTTCAGCCAAAACTGTGCAAAAAAATATATAAAGTTTCACATTTAAAATAAGTTTTCCTATAATTATGTTCTACCCAGGATTCCTGTAGTGGCATAGCTTTAGCTTCACCTGGTTAAAATTCAGTAAAAATAAATAAATCAATCAATAAATAAATCTCCTATTAAGCAAATTATTAATCGGTTAATGGGGAAAAAAAGCCAATCAGACAGAATGTATGTTTGTTAAAGATGATCAAGCGTACATTAAAGGAAAAACACTTATATAAAAAGAAATTATTTGTTCATTTACCATATCAAATAGTCAATACGTTCCAGAAAAAGAAAAGCATTTCAAACCTTTTTCAATATTTATGTAATTCTATCAAGACATATTTAAACAGCTCTGACCTCTTGGAGTCCAGAGGTCGCCCGTCGCTGCTAACGCTGCGTGGAATGGCGGCGCCTCTCTCCAGCCTCTCAGCAGACAGGGTCTTCCCCACCGAGCTGCCCAGGCTGATGGCTCGGTTGGGGGTGTGGGGCTGCGGTGAAGCGGTCAGGGACTGCTGAGGGCTGCTGGACGTCCTCTGCCACTTGTTGTTGTTGCTGCGGAATGGGAACTTGTACTCAAAGGAGCCGCTGTCTGTGCTGCTGCCTTTGTATTCAGACACCGGGACTCTGTAGAGCTCGGAGCAGCCCCTGCAAAGACGGGGACAAACGGGTTAAGTTAAAACGTTCCTCATCATTCACGTGGCTTTGGGATTTGGGAATATTGAATGACACAAATAAAAGGTCACATTTGTTCTACTGCCTCAAAGCTTCAGCTTTTACAATTTGCACATTAAAGTGACTCGAGTCCCGATGAACTCATGAGCTGCATCTGTAGAAGTAGATTGATTTTATTAGCCTGTAAGAAGTTCAGACAATAAGTTAAACCATGTGGAAGCAATCATAAAGCTAATTTAAATTAGGCTTAAAAAGCATTTGTTTTTGTCCTACAACCTCAAAAACACTATTCACAGAATAGTTGGTGTCAAAGTGAGTTTGTTTACATATATTTACACATTCACTTCCACTTACCTGCGTGGAGTGGCGTCATCATGTGGTGGGATGATGACAACACGCACTGTCATTGAATTTCTGAGGAGGTCAATCATCTGCTCATGGGTCAGAGTCGCAACAGCGACTTTGCAGATTTCGACCAATCGGCTGCCCTGACGGAGCCCCGCCTGCCAAGCATATCCATACGGCTCCACCTGTGAACAACGAAGTCTCATTGAAGCTTCGACATTTTTCTAGCGTTTGGTTACTCTAACTTGAGAGTCTCTAATCAAAACAAATCACAAACAGATTTAATTCAATTAAATTTAATTGATTGTTTTTTTTTTTGTCTTTTTAAACTGGAGAACATTTGAAAAACATTTTTAAAAAGCATAAATCATTGTATTTGTAAAAATCCAGGGATTATCCAACTGTCTGAGTATTAATCACCATTTACAATAAAAGAGAGACTATTGACTATTGCAGTCTCATATTCAGCCAACTTACAAGTAAGTTGTATCAAAAACAGTTAAACATGCGCTGATAAAATTTAGTTTAAATTTAGTGCATTATTTTACCGCATCTGTTAATGATATATATTTTTAGCCTATGTAAAATATTAAACAGGGTATCTTTAATAACCCGGTTCCAATTTACGCTTAGGAAAAGCAGGTAATAGATTTTTGTGTCAAACTGCTTCTTATGGCACTAAACACAACAAAAAAGTTACTTAAACTTAAGTAAAACACCTAAATCATGACCAAATGTCCAAAATAAAACATTTATGTTATGAAACAATACCTCTGCCACAATGCCTTCGTAGTTGACGTGGAAGCCAAGCTGCCCCAGACCGTTTCGCCGAAGAGTCATCTCGGATGTCTCACAGCCCTTAGTTAGAAACTGGACAGATTGAGGGCAGCGAGACAATTAGAAACATCAAGTGATCACAGGTGGAGTTGTCCTTTTCCTAGTTGAGTTAAAAATAAAATAAAAACGTTTAGAAAATGTGGAAGGACCGCCTCTGTTTTTAACTGTGAATTTATTTCTGTGTCTCTGCAAACATGGTTCTACTAAAGCTGGAAGATTTTAGGGGATTCAGGTGAGGCCCAAGAGAGTTTAGGGCACAAAGTATGCAGTTACATCAGACATAAAGGTTTCTGAATTGATTTGCACTCAACAAATGACACCCAAGACGGTGAAATCCGAGTCTGCACGGAGACAAAGACAAGTTACAAGAGAGAAACTCCTTTAAATTTTTTGTTTTATCATGCGACTCCCGTTGTTCAGGTGAGGACAGAAGAGGACTGAGAAGAAACTATGCTTCATCTGAAGGGCTGAAAATGGGAACACTTGGAAAAAAAAAAAATAAATCACTGATGAGTTAGCTCACAGTGGATCTGTGAAAGCAAGTCTAATTCACAAATAACTCCTTTTTACGGTTACTCACTACACACATTTATTTTCTTCTAATAATGCATCTTCAGGCTTAAAGGCACCTCTGCATCTTTCTCTCACCAGAAAAGTAAAACTTCACTGAAAAGTGCCTAATATAAAAAGTTACTGCAGTCAAACATTTCTGTGTTAATAGGGGCAATGAAGAGTATTGGAAAAAATGAAAAATAAGGGTAGAAACAAGGAGTAGAAAAATAAAGTTTGATCACTTCCTCTTTTTAATCAAAAGCCACTTGCATACAAAGCAATATCTGATCATTAATAATTGGACTTTTGTTTAAATTTATTGGTATGCAAGAGTACAAAAATACACAGAATTTCTGTGTAACTCAAGTTACATAAATACATGAGAAAAAAACAATCACATGCGTAAACACACATGAATTTATACCTTTCAAAACTAAAAGGCAACACTGAATGATTTTTAAAGCTCCACTGATTACATAAGAAAACACCGTTTTTCCCAGCCTGTTTCCATGGAAACAGCCAAGAACGAACAACCATCCACTTCACTGGATGTGTAGGTGTATGAGCCATTAGCACAATGTTGTCCAGAGGTGGTTCTGAAACTCCCCTCAATAAAGTGAAACGCATGAAGAGATGGCAGGCTGGCATGTGAAAATAAAAAAATGCCATCATTGAATAGTAGGAGAGTCTGTGAGTAGGTCAGGTAAGTGGGGAAAAGCTTTTTTGGTATTTAAATAAAAGTGAATTTGATCCAATTTTTATCATGTTTCCCTTCCTCAAAGCATGTTATCACCACCAAACATGTATATTGAGTTACAACAGCATTTAATTTCCCTTTGGGATTAAGTAAATATTCTGGAATTGTGTAGGTGTGAGATCTCTTACCTCCAGACGTTTGACCACTTCTTTGAAATCCTCTGTGTTATTACTGATGCTTCTAAGAGATGCACTTTCTCCTCGCTCATAGAAAACCTTTAAAGAAGCAGGACTGCTGAGAGTCCAACCAATCACATCCTTAGTGGCACAGTTGAACACCACAGCTTTGGCCTCCTGGTCCAACAGGATCATGAAGTCATTGGAAATAGCCAACAGGGCCTCGATTTCCCCTCCGTTCCCATGATCCTCAGCGTAAACAGGCCAGGTCACCGCTCCGAGACTGCGCAGCTCCGCTCCTTCGTAAGGCCGGGTCTTCTCTTTCTTTTTATGAGCCAAAGAAATGAAAGGAAACTTTCCAGAGGGATCAATCGGGGTGCTGGTGGTGTGGCGCTCGGCCAGGTCCCGCAGGTACTCTTGGCGCGTTCGGGTGGCCATGGCACGAAACTTATGTGATTTGTGAGCAGCATTTTCGGCATTGATCACTTTAGCTAGCAGGAACTCCCGGAAGACTGATGACTTTGGAAAGGTCACGCCCTCTGGGATAGGGGGGCCAAATGAAGGCATGTCTTTGGAACGGGTGACTGCCACACTAGGAAGAAAAGAAAAATTAGCCAGGCAGAGATGTAAAGAGAGACTCGAGAAGCAGATTTATCAAATTCAGTTATACTCAGTTTGGAAAAGAAAATTTGAACGCAGACATCAAGCAATAGATACTTTTGTTTTGCTACAGAACTAGCCAACCAGAAAAAATTCAATCAACAGCTTAAACAATTTATAGCACTGAGGGATCCAATAAAAGTGTGCTTAGCTGCTGGCATGTCAGAGAAACAATTTATAATTAGTTTTAAGATGATTTATTACCAAAATTAGTATTTACAAATATAAAAATCTTTTAATTTTCTTAACATTCCAAAAGCTTTTCTATTTCCAAATTCTGCACTTTTTCAGACTTAAATATCTACATTTTAATACAGATCATTTACATATTTTCAAAGTTTTAAATAGTTACAGACAACTGCAGAAACTTTGAATCATACATACGATCTTCCATCAATTAAAAAAGTAATTCAGACGTTCTAACATAAATTCTACTTGAGAGAAACTAGCAGCAGACCAGCTATGTAAACAGTTGACCAATCAACATTAACTTGATGTACTTGTTTTATATTAAAAGGAGTAAAACTGAAACAGTAATAACAGTTTGCAAAACAACCATCAAACACTACACCTAAACTGGGGTTTGTTCTATGGATCTGATTAAGTATTTAAATTAAATATATTATACATCATTGATATCGTATCCATTTTAATCAATATGTTAGGCTGGTTTAGCACAAGCAAGAATAACTGCTGTGTTTTAATAAAGACATTTGAACATGTACATGTACAATTTTGCTTAAAATTTCTGCTACACTGTCACACTTGTGTGTTTACTTAAGGTTATTTTTATGGCATGTATAAGCTGAATTATATGCTTTTTTTTTTTTTTTTCCTTTTTTTCCCCTGGAAGGGCCATTTGAGGTAGTTTGCCCTTTCTGGTATGCCAGTATTTCAGCTGAGCCTTCATGGACAGACAGGAAGAGAAGAAAAGGATGCATCATGACTACTTTTCCAAACTTCTAGCCAAATGTGACTCTTGGGTGAAAAAAATGGAAAAGGCTTGTGAGAAAAGAGTGAATAAAAGGTTGACGAAAAGGGGAAAAAATGCAAACAGGTGGGGGAATGAGACAATAAAACACACAAAAAAGGTGTCGAGTAACACTCTGGCCTGGAGAGCTCATATTCCTACATGGCTTAATTTTTCTAGTCTCAACCAAAAGAGCTCAATCACAAAATCCTCTCACAGGTGATAATTGCCAGGTGACAAGAGAGGCACAGGGAGTCATAGCCCCCATCCTACACAATTCCCCGCTGACAAGCATTAGCACACATGTTGACACTGGGATTAATCACATAGCCTAATACGCAATACTTGTGTCACCCACATATTTCTAAACATACTTTAGAGACATCCTGTCCTTACTGGAGACATGTGGTGTTCAATTATACCAGCCTTCAAACTGTTGACAGCTTATTTCCCACCTTAACTTGCTTGTGGCAGACTGACATGAAAGAGGAAGCATTTTTCTGGCTGAAATGGCATCGCAGGATGAACTTTTTTTTTCTTTTTAAATAAATGGATGTAGTGGATAAACGCTAGTGTCTCAAAGGTTTGTCTGAATTTTTTTTACGGTGAAATAGCTAAAGTGTAGTAGGAAAGCTTGAACATCTGCAGTCATTACATCAATCATTCACAAGTGAAAAAGATGCATGTTCTTTACCCTATAGTGACAGATGTCATTTAGTAGGATATATTAAGCGACAAATCCATGTAGATTGATTTGTTGAAACTGAAACAATTATTAAGGGAAGGAATGAGAAGTTTATATGCTTCACATATATCGATCAGGTCCAAACCTTTTCAGAAGAGTTCATACACCGTCAACTGAACAAGGCAAATCACAACAAACAAATACAAGAAGAGATTTAGGAGAAATTGGCATTAGAAAATCAAAAGATTTAAATTTTTAAATGCAAAATTGCCTAATGGCACTTGCCTTTTCCAGTTACAAAAGTATAAAAAAATGTTTTGTGGTTTCGGAGACCTGACTCCATATTTATCTTCCATGTTTTCCAGGTCTTAGGCCCCATTCACAATAACACAAATGTTCTGCGAAACAGCTGTGTTTGCACCACCCGTCCATATACAGAAAGACTTAAGAACTGTGGGGGTGTTCATGGGAACTGGAAACAATCAAGCTTTTTGCATTGCTTTCCGTGTTCAAAACCACAAGAGTGGACAGCTTTGTGCTTTTTTTCCCTCCCCCCTCCCCCATCTATCTCACTTTGGCCTGATTTCTTCAAAGGCTAAAGGTCATCATTTTGATTATATTATTCCCTCTTACTGGCACAGAAAAGATAATATATTTAATACATTATCTCGGCCTAAATAGCATCTATATGATGTTGTTGACAACCTGTCTTTGATAGTTCAATATATCAATTCCCTGTCAAAAGCTATGAAAAATGGTTAAAAATGACCCAATTGAAGTGATCCATCAATAGGGACAAATGATGCATGTTTGGAGTAGAGTCTGGCTCCTGTGCTCCAAATCAACAGTCAAGGTCCTGCACCCTAACCAAGTCAGGAAAATCATCCTAGTGCTAAAAGAAAGATGACATTTTGTCAGCGTAGACGGTGCTATTGCTAACCATAATGTTATATCTGATGGGTGTTCAAGACTTATGCAATGGCAATAACTTAGAGACATTTAGTAATGTACAGGCAATCTGAAAAATGTTGACAACTCCTACGCAAAAAATTGACAGTACTGTGGCTATATATGCCTGCGACTCTGCAAATGAGTAATGAATCACACGCAGCATTTTAGAGAGGAGAGCTGAAAGTGGCTACAAGCAGGGAGAACAATGAGAATGAGACCTTTTATTTCTATTCTTTTCAGTCACTACAGATGCAGCTAAATGTATTATACCGAAGCTCTGAAATCACTTGTTCTGATCTCAAACACCTGTGAGTCAGTCAAGCCAGGGCCTGTGACTCATGCAGGACAGAGCACATTGATGGTGATATTTATACATACAGGTAGGGGCATAAAAGTAAAGAATTACACTGCATACGAGATTGAAATGAAGGAGAAGAGAAAGGTAAGGCTTAATATGGCAAGAAAGAGAGGAATGCTACACAATGGGAAATGCTGGACTATGAGGCTTCTTGGTGATCTTCATGGCAGGAGGTTGAGCAGAGAAAATCATAGGGTAAATTCCTGTGGTTTTAGTGATTTGTGGGCTTATAAATATCCAGTGTGTGGGCAGTCTGCTCTTCCAGTATCCACAAACAGCAGCTCAACAAGCCAAGAAAAAGAAAAACAAAACAAAAACCGAGTCAATACCTAAAGCTATGGGGAGTTCAGAGATGGACACATATTCAGGGGAGAAATATGAGGAAGGTGTATGATGTTTACCTTGTCTCTCTCTGCTTGCATCAAGTCAACTTTTAAAGATAGATTTGAAACTTTAAATTAAAAAAAACACCAGAAAACTTAAGATTTTCAAACCCTTTTTGACCCTGAGAATGTTAAAAATAAAAAAAGCAGGCTCCTCCACAAAATAATTCTTTTTATAAATGTCCACGCATGTTCATATCAAAAATTCAATGTGCACAAGTGAAGCACTACATACACTACACTCCCAAAAGAATGGCTTTCTGGATGAGTTGAAGCTTTCCTTTCCATGCATTTATATCCATGCTCTATCCAATGTAAAATAAATACATTATTATTGTAAGCTCTATTTAATGCATCATTTCTTAGTCATGTGCTTTTTCCATGGAGACCATGACTCATATTTGACCTGTGAAACATGGGGTTGTCATGTAGGCATCATGTCAGGTTTTCTTTCACATTTATGAATCACATATCGAAGACATCAAAGCATTTGTTCGATATTCACTGTGCAGCAGGGCTCATTGCTTACGTGTGTTTATTTGTGTTGTTGCTCTGTAATGAAGTAGCCACATGGGGGAAGATTAAGGCCTCACACAAGTTGCTCAGACAGCAATTAAAAACGACAATAATTGGAGTCAAACGGCGTGTGACAACAAAAAAGAACAACTGGAAGGATGAGAAGTAGGCAAAAACCTGAATAAAATTCCTTTCAAAGCTGAAATCAAATAAGAACCTAAAACCAAAGTTAACTGATGGGTGTGGGTGTTGTGCATTCTGTTCATATTACATATTTCTGACAAGTAATAATTCTTGAACTATAGTGACGTCTCAACACCTGCAGCCATTTTGATGGTGGATTTCAGGAAGTAGAAAACTCTGCAGGTATTATCAGAGCATCATTCATTCAGCTGTGATGGAGGGTGGTTTATGTGAAATACATTGTTGTGCTTACCACAGATATGACAAAAATTTTTTAAGATTAGAATTTTAATTGATAAAATAAACCTATGTGTGTCTTGTGTGTTTATTTAATCAACTCTTTTAGGTTCTTTTCTCCATTCCTCCATCATAATATATACCTGCTTTTTATTGCAGGGTTTTACAAGTACTGGAGGAATCTCATGATTGGCAATGTCTGCAGTTGTTTCAGATGAGTTATACTTGTAGACTATTTTTCAAACAGAGGAAGTGCTGATTTCAAATTTTTTGAAATCCCTTTAAATCATTTACTAGACTCTCCATACTGCCACAATCTTCCTAAGATTTAAGGAAGACATCTTTCGATCTGACCATAAAGTGGACTTTCACTTAAGGACTCGGGAGCACAACAAACTAAATGTAATTTATGGATAAGTACATGGATAAGTATGTACTGTAGTATTGATGTATAATTACCAATTAATTAATTTATTTATTAATTAATTAATTAAATTATTAATTACCAATAAGGGTTTTGTTTCATTTGACTAAGAAGAAAAATTCCTCAGAATGCAAGAATTTAAAAACAGAGTGATCACTTTGTTTCTGAATTTCACCTGTAAGACGCGTTTTCAGAGCAGGGGTTATGAGCCCGCACAATCACAAAGACATGCTGGAAGTGAGAGCGAATGTTTTTAGGAGTGAAGGGAAGCGCTCCAGGCTCCTGGAACACAATTGTGACGATGTCGTTCCCTATGTGCCGCTTCCGCAGCAACTGCAGGTTCGATGACAAAGAGAGAAAATAAACAATAAGCTGTTAGAGACCAAGAAAATCAAACTGAACAATTAGACATCTTTTTGACAATGGACACCTAGAAAGCTGTGACTTAATCCACTAGGATTTTGCAGATATCTCCTACAAATGTCCACTTTTATAGCTTTGATATATACAAAGGCTGTTATCTAACACTTTCTATTAATTTTCGTTTTTCATACCTGTTGCTTATTGTTGGGTGTGTAGGGCAGCATGGTTGACACATGGAACATGATCTCATAGTCCTTGTAAGTCGTATACAAGGAGTGGGTGCCTGTAGAATCAGCTGAGGAAGACACAAGAGAGGGTTAATTTCTCATTTGGAAAAATGATGAAAATTCAATGGAGCAGTGTTTGGCTCTCACACCAAGGAAATACTTGTCATTGATAACAAAACTCCACATTCTATTGATTTTCCTTCAGTTTCACAGCATCACATTTATATGTCATTTAAAAGCCCCTTTTGGCTAAATCACTTAATTCCTGCAAACACTTAAAAAAAATAATAATAATAATAACTAATGCTTTATGAGTTTCAGCCCAGTATTCCTGGAACTTCCAGACCAGTTTAGCACATTTACGTTTCCCTAAATAAAATTTTCCAGATAAATTTCAAAGTGTTAAGTTGTTTGGCTGTTTTGTTAATTTTCACTTGATTGAAGTTCCAAGTTCCGTGTTGAAGTTTTGCTTTTGGAAAAATAAAAATCCCTCCGTTAACAATTACTGTATTATTTAGTGAAAACTCTTTACAGTCATAAACATGCTTTAGAAATAACTGACTACCTGAATCCATAATCCATTATTCGCTTGGTGGACAGCTAAACCTAAAGGTTATTTTTTTGTTATAGCCACACATATACTTACTTTTTGTGTCCAGTTGAGCTCGATACTTGTTGAAACCTTTGAGCCTAACCCGCTCACCCAACAGATGGAGGAACTCTTCCAAAGCAGGACCGGCTGCTTCGTTATTGTACATCTCTTCTTCGCTGCTCTGGCCTGCCATGCAGTACATCACCCCCACCTTCCGCTGGAAACTCAGCTGTATAGAGAATACAAATGAAGAAGCAGAGAACGCAACATTACCTTGTAGAAGTCAAGTCAAAGTCCCCTTGTTGACATTTTAGTCATAACTTGTGTTGCCATTTCAAAAACAACCTTGAGTTGTACTGTTGTGGTGGTGGTGCTATTTTTTCCCAAGAAATTATGCTGACATTTTCAGAGATTTCAACTTCTGATGATTGCACCAGGGAGGGTGAGCATCGTGAGCATCAAAAAGCTTGTTTTGTGTTTTCCTTTTTTTTTTAAGGTTGCAATGCGAGATTTCCGACGACAAGCACAGTTTCACAGAGTAAATTCCACAAAACAGGTCACAGAAATGATACAGTTAAAAGGAGGGAATAATAAATAAGAGCCATCTCCTGTATGAAGAGGGAAAATATCTCCCTACACCAGAAATGATTCATGAACTCAAAACAAGATTTGTTTGCGCATACTACTGTGTGTGTGGATGGCTCTCAAAGTTCTGTTGGTGAATACATAGCACCCTTCACACTTACTTTACAGCAGTAGCTTACACCTCACACTTAAAAATAAAACCTTTTCCAGATTCATTTAATCAGTGAGCGCAAAAGAAATCCACATTAAGCATCATCTTTACATCTTAAAAGTAATAGTCAATGCAATGTTTCAATTTATACTTTTTTTATCTGTAGATTATAAACATTTAATTAGTAGTAAATTACTTCCTGTTCTCACAAGTATTAATAGACAAGATGGAAGCCCATTTCTCTTGACTAAAAGCCACTAGATTGTACGTTGACCTATGTTTATCTTGTCATCAATATAGATGAACATTTCCAAAGTTCACGGTTTGAAAACTACAACAAAGTTGCAGCTTGGGGTCATGGAGTCAACCATGACATGCCATCTTAATGTCAACTATTTTGGGAGGAAAGTCATTCTTTGTTCTTTGTTCAACAAAAACATGTGCTAAACATGTGCTAAATGTCACTGAAGCTGAAACTATAGACTGTGATCAAATCAAAACAGAAATTTATCATTGTGCACAACTGGGAGGAGTATCCAAATGTTTTTACTCAAGTTAGAGCAACACTACTTCAAAAAAATCTTTACTCATATAAAAAGTAGCTGTCCAAGAAATTTACAGGAGTCAAAGGGTATTTGGTAAAAAGTCTACTCTAGTACTGAGTAATTAAAATATCATTCATGTAATATTTAAAAATTACATCAGATGGACCAAAATATAAAGATATGTGAAATTTTTGCATTTTAAAGACTAAATTAAAAAATAATATCGATAATATAACTACGAAATAACAAAATGAAAAAAAACAAAAAACGTTCCTCCTCAAATCAATTTCTTTTAATATCAAACTTATGAAACTTTAACAACAACTACATTTGTGTCTGGTGAATTTTTGCTTAACACGAGATTGTTCTTCACTCACTGAAGTTGTACCCAGTGGGTGGAGTATCCAGACATTTTAATCAAGTGAGTAGCAATACTTAATAAATAAATTACTCAAGGAAAAGTAAAAAGTAAAGCATAGTATCGATACTTCTCGAAGTGATTTTTTCCCAAAAAGTCACTCACGTAAATGTAACTCGTTATTACTCAACTCTGGTTTTGAGTCCAGTGCAGAAGGTTCTAGTTTGGCATTAATTCATAGTGGAAAGTAGCTTGTCTTTTAATAGAAATGATCAAGAATTAGTTTAACACTTTCTTAAAAACCTCCAAGCAGGTGGGTGTCCATATGTAAAAGTGTTATTATTTACACTTGTAGCATTGTTATGTATTTCTGCTCTGTCATGTTGACAGTGATTTTGAGTCCTGTGCACGTTTTGGTGGGGGTGTGGATATAGGTTTGGACTACTTATATTAATCTCCATCACTGTAAATTGGAAAAGATTTTCTAAAGTACATTTTTTGTCTGAATGATGTTTTTAAAACATTGTCATTAGAACAGGAAGTGTAAAGGATCCTTCCATTTTAGTAAGCTGATAGTGGCAATCAAAGATACACAATCAAGAGACATAATCAAGAAAATGAATGCAGCCCAGCTTATCTGAGAATAAATTTGCTCATTGTGTCTTCTTACCCCCTGCTCATCCAGCTTCATCAGCTGATCAGTGACCTTAGGCGTGTTGAGTGCCAGACGCAGGCAGTGCACATTGAGCTCAGGAACAAGATATTCCAGTACTTCTTTGAGAGGAAGACCACGAGCAAGACCGTGCTTCGCTGTCGATGGCACAGCATCTTCAAGGATGGATCCGCGCAGAGTGGTAAGCTAGAGATGAAAAGAAAAAAAAAAAAGAGAACAGTTTGGTAGTGTGTTTTACTTGAATGGGTTTATAATGCCAGGTAAATGTACTCTGGTGATTGATTTAGAAAAATACAGAGATGGGTTAGCTAAAGAAAGAAAGGAAAGAAGGTGTAGGTTTTAACAGTGAAGTCTCTTAGGTTTCAGGGTGAGACAGACTAAAGAAGGACTTCCATAAATAAATCAGGAAGACTGTAGAAAAGTCCAAGGCCTGAGTGTCCATCATGAGCAAGTAAACAGAGCTGGCAGTCTCTAGCTGTCTCCAGGCACTTAACAGCGTCTGTGTTTTATGTTTGGTAGTGACTGTGGTGGTGTAAACACACTCAGTTTTATATAAAGTGAAGAGGAGAAATGCTCTTAACTCAAGAGCAATGGACAGTAGTAAAGGACAGTGGCCCCCGATGCACAAAACCGTCTTCAAAACCAGAGCATCCCACTCACTCCCCTGTATATTCACATGTACTTTTAAACCTGGAAAGTTTTCCAATCTTAAAAAACAGCAATTATAATGGATAGAGGGATGCAGAGTTGAAAGACAGAAAAATATCACACTTTGTTATGCGTCATACTAATGGGACTCCCAAGCCAATTACTCAAGTTATACTTTAATCCAAGAACTGTGCTTTACTTTTGATGTTTGAATTCTTCTGGTCTAAATTTAAACTTTTTGGGTGCAAAATGGCACAGCTCAGTCCTTCAGTGATGAAGTTTGACAAAGATCCTGGGTGGGCGTTTAGCTCAGGGGATGAGCACATGGTTCTTTAACACTAACTAGAGAGATTTAGAAGAGACTCACTGAAAATGGTAATTGAGAACTCAAAGACTCAACTGAAAGAAAACATTTGAAAAAAAGTCAGATCAAATATGCATGGAGTTGAGGCGGTGGCTCAGCAGAGGCGGAGGAATCTTGAGCTGACAACCGTGAGCTGAAGCTTTTACATCGAACCCCTGCTGGGTGAAGATCCTGTGTGTTAACTCCTACACAATCTGAACTCATAATGGCTTCTCTGTAGCTTCACTCAGAACAGAGTGTACTAAGTATTGACACAGTTAAAAGCATGAACATTCATGGCTATTAATACAGTAAATCTAGATGAATGGAAAGCTCAAATGGAAACACATAATTCAGCATAATGAGCAGTGAACACACACTATACATATCCAACACATATGAGGAGTTTTTATTTCGATGTTGTTTTACCTCGCTCGTCCTGAAGATGACCCTGTAATTATACTGCTGGCCGTGCTCTTTGTGTTCCTCCAGCTTCTCCCTCCTCAGGCTCACCGCCACTGGGCCCAAGTTCTCATCCACCCCCAGATAGTTCCAGTGCTCTAAGGTTTAGATTGAGAGTAATGCTATTTGTGATAGGTGTGTTAATGAATGGATCACAAAAAAAAAGGCTAAAGAAAATAAATAGCAATAGAAATAAAATGGCAACAAGGTTAGTTACAAGTTAAATATGCTACTTTCAAAACAATGGCCTGTAAAGGGATATTTCCCAAAGAAAATGCAATGAGAAAAAGATTTTCAAAAAGTCATTCTGTGCCGGGAAGAAGTTTATATACACTTCTTCATCATGGACATGAATGTTTTCAACTTTGCATATTTTTAATTTTAAGAATCAATAAAGTTGTGGCTTAATGCTTCATCCATTCTAAAGCCTCTTGGCATGTTATGGATCGTTAATCTGTTGGAAAAAGCTAATTTCATCAAAGTTTGTTCAAGTTTTGTCAAATTAAGAGCAGATGCTTCCTTCTTAGTAGGAAACCAAGCTTCACTACTGCAGGGTCAAGATCAACGTTTAAATTTGAATGTACTTAAGGACTGGCAAACAACAAAGATCACAATAAAATCTGTTCAACAAGGTGAGCAATTTTATGCCCAAATTACTGAACTTTTGATAATTAAGATTCCTGATCCTTTTGTGAGATCGTATTGTAACAACTAAACAGATGTAAATGAATCATGTTTCTTCCTTATCACCATTTATTTAAAATCACCCAAATACTTTTATTTACTTAAACTATTTTGAACTATTCTGAAAATCCAGTTAAGTACCATTTTAAATTATTTCCATCACTTTTGATCAGAAAACAGTTAAATATTGTACAAGAATAAGCCATGAGATTGTTTAAAAAAAACCTTAAAATGCATCATTGAATAACAAAAATTTGTAAGACATTTAATCCAACGATAATCGTCCAATTCTCTTACCTCTAAGATAGAAATACTTTCTGTAGTAATAGGCACCAAGGTCAACATGTTCCACAATGTATCTCTTGGACCTGTCAGCATGTTGACTTGGGCCATCTTTAGCAGCCTCCAACACGGCCACTCCAGCATTGGTGAAATGGGTTGTGAGAGTGGCATCCAGCGGTCCTTCCTCCGTACTGCCAGAAGAACTGCTGGAGCTCCCACCGCTACCAATGCTGCCCTGCTGGAAGACCGATTACAAAGAAAAGTGAAGCAAGCGATCCTAAAGCTGTCATTTTTATTAAATATATGTGCTCTACATATTTATTAAAACTGTCACTATGTTGTGACAGTGTAATATGAGAGATAATCTGTAAAAAGCTCACGTTCCTCTCCCTTCTCCCAGTGCTGCTATTACTGTCAGAAGAAATGCAGAGCTCCCAGTCAAAACCCACCAAACAGAGCCAGGTTGAAGGTCTTAGTGCTGTCAGTCAGGCTTGTGTATGTGCTGCTCAATGTGCTAATTGTGGACAAGCAACTCACGGTCTCAGAAAATATTAATGTTGTTCATATTTTAATCGCTATGCTAACCAGCCTGAGTATTCATGGCAGGCTCCGATGTCAGGAAGAAGCTGGAGCATAGCAGAGAGCAAGAAATTGATTAACGATACTGAAACCCTCCTCCTGGTTGTGACTGGGTGTTAGCACTGGGAAAAGGCAGATGAGGTCAATTTTTTATTTTTATTTATTTTACAGACTATCTCATACCATTGTATTATAACATCGTGGCCCTTTCAACAAATACATAAATGTGAATCTTATTTATACATATGTTTTCTTGAACTCAAAATACCTGTTTAGCAGGAGAAATGTTCCTCTCCCCCTCTCCACCAATCTCATTCCTGAAACAAGGGCAACTGAGAACCAAGTCATTGCTCTTATCATCCCCAGGGTCCAATGCGGGGTTGGCACCGTGTCCTCCTCCAATCCCCTCCTTGCTCAGCTCCTCCTGTGAGCCACAAGGGGAGCCATAGGTTCCACTCTGATTGGAGGAAAGCGAGGAAGTGGCAGAGGCTGAAGCAGCAGCAGCAGCTGAGGCACCGGTTGTGGTGTTCTTGCGTTTGGAGCCACATTGACGGTTTTGGATCGCCTCATTGAGGTCAAACAGTAGAGACTGGATATCAAAATGAGCGAAGCCTTTTTGGCACACCCATGGCTTAGGAGGTGGGCCACTTTCATCCCCTTTCCCGCCATCTTCAGCATCTGAGCCGGCCCTCGATGTGTCGCCCTCCACCTTTACGCTGCGTAGCTTCCGGAAGATAGACTCTCCACCCGTCTCTGACTTCGACCTTCTCTTCAAGTGTTTTTCGCGCTCTTTCAGTCGGCTCGCGGGACTGCCACGAGCTGGACCATCGGGCAGATCCAGGGCGGCCTGTTTTATGGGAGCCACAGTAAGGAGTTCTGACAGTCTTTCTGGAGCTGGGCTTCTCTGATCAGGGGCTTCGGAGGACTGGTATCCCTTCAGCATGTCAAAGAAGCTCTCTCCCGACACGCCGTGTTTGTCTATTGAAGAAGTGCTGCCGTATTCACGGTGCATGGGCGTCCATCCAGAGAAGGACCAGCCCTCATTGCCCTCTCCATCCAGTTCACTGATGGTTATATCACTGTTACTGCGCTGGCGGATCCGTCTCATCCCTTTCCGTGGAGAACCCAGGTAACCATCAGGTGACAGGAAGCGATTGTCCTTTCCTTTGCTATGCATCTTGTTCTTTAGTGTATTCTGGATGTTGCGCAGCATTGATGAGTCTTGTGGGCTTATCAGGTGTCCTAACTTCGCTGACAAATTGCTGTGGGCTGTGACAGCTGACACATTCCCCCCTCCTCTTTCTCCACTACCACTCCCACTCAATCCTCCACTTCCTCCTCCACCGCCACCTCCGCCGCCCAGGATTCGTTCTCTGTCTCCACTTCCTGATCCTGAGGAGCTGGTGGTGTTCGTAGAGCTAGGCGAGTCCGTTTCCACCGTGATATGCCAAACACCACCTCCACCGCCATCTTTCCTTGGGGGCCAGTCGGCCACACGAGCTCTGACCCCCATCTTGGGGACACCAGGGTTGGTGCCAGTGGTTGATGCAGAGGAGATATGTGCACTCTCGCTTCGAGGTGGCGGTGCTCCTCCATTGGGCAGTCGGAGGCGCCGTGTGTAGAACTCATCAGTTGCCGGCACAGAGCCCCCAACCGACCGCTCCGTCTGAGAGCGCTTCAGACTAGTCATGACAAAGAATGGGGAAGGATGTGGGGAAAGGAGGTGGGAGGGAAAGGTTAAGATGGATTGTGAATGGGGTTAGATTTGGGTCAACATAATGCCCAGTGAATGAAGAGCAGAGGGAGATTCACATCTGGTTCTGAAGAAAGAGAAAAACAAATAGAAAGATAAACAAGTCAATGTATAACATTTGTAATTTTTATAAGAAAAACAAAAATAGCAGAATATCAAACATTCTGAACTGCTAGAGATAACATGTTTGTTCACAAGGCACAAATTTCAGAAGGTGAAATATTTGGGGGTTTTTACTCCAAGAAGATCAGGCTATTTTACCTTAAAAAACCTCCAGTATGAAGAAACTAATGTGTGGACTGTATTTTACAGCTGCAGTCTTCAAAAAGCCATCTGCTCTGGATTTATGCGAGAGGAGAAGTTAGGTCGCCTCAACGGAAAAACTGGAACGTAACGACTCAGAACAGTGTTGCAGAGAGCCTGAGCACAAAGAAAACAGAGAAAACTTAAGTTAATATCACTATCACATACTGCAAAATTACATTTATACCTCAAACTCTAACATCTTTAAATTAAAAAAAATTTAAAAAGCACAATGGAGTCTGTCTGGTTACAAAAATAGTGGTTTAATAGAAAAAGTTCAGTATTTTCAGCAGATTAATGAAAAAAAATCCTCAACATGTTTAAAAGACGCATGTAGGTTTTATTAATTTTACCAAATTTTAATATTCAATAACATCACTCTTTCCCCACTTTACATAATGTCAAAATCAAGCCATAAGTCAATTAGAAAGTCACTGCTAATGAACATTTAGAAAACCTTAGGAGCGGAATGAAATACAAAAAATGTTCACGGACATAGCAAAACGGTGTGCAGCTCATTAAGCCAGTCAAAACAATGTGACATGTTTTTCTTCCCGCAGACATTGATGCAGCTTCAGGGTGCCAGACTGTCCGCTTTTCCAACTGGCTTGTCCATAATACTGCAACACCTCTCCATTCCAGAACAATCTTTTGAGTCACCATGGAGATAAGCGGTCTTGCAAAGACCATGTTTTTCAGTGTTGCTTGTGTGAATGTGAAAGAGAAAAGGTGAAGAGAGATACTGAATTCTTTCCTTAATAGAAAACCCATCAAGTTCACATTTGAAAGCATTTATTTGCAGTATCACTAATGTGTTATTATTACTCTAGAAAACATGGTCCATGCTTTCACTTGCCTACAAAATGTACCATAAATCTTCATAATGTTTCCCAAATACAAATGTAGTATTTCACATTTCTGGTATTCTTCCTAACGTAACAACCATTAAAATCAGCTTGCTTTAGATTCTCTGGAATATTTTCCCATGACAACTTGCCTGGAACCTGCTAAGGGTGTTTCCCCCTCCTGCATCTTCATCTCGCCCAGTAACTGCAGGGTTACACTCCAGAGCCCTCCACCCACCAACAACTCTGAACAGGATTAAGGCGATGGATGGAATGCTGTTTGGTAGGACAGGAAAGACTACAGTTACATCAACATAAAATGAGGAGATAACCGTTTCCAGTTATCTGACAAACTGTGAAGTTAAATAAACAGCAGAGCTGGCCAAACATTCTGAGAGCAAACTGATGTTAGAGAAGCAAAGAAACCAGACTTATTCAGTGTGTTATGCCCTGGCCAATGGTTGGACAATGTTGAAGTAAAAAATGAATTCAATTTAAAATGTTACTTTAATCTTTTAATTAAACTCTTTTAGCAGGGTTTTCTCCAGAAAACTTGCAAACAGCAGTGGGAGGGATGCTAAGGCAGTAATCCAATGGCCCACCATAATTTCTAGACAAAAACATTTTTTTTCAAGTTGACAAAAAATCTGAAAATATCACAAGGTAATTATACGTTATTGGAAGACATTAACAATACCTAAGCACCAACTATGAAGTCTTAAAAAAGGCAAACATTAAAAAACCTAAATAAACAAGCAAGCAATGCTTAGCCCAGTGGGGACGTAAGTAAAGCCTGGTGACCCGCCAGGCTTATAATACACTGGGGTAAACTCTGCTTTAGTGTACAAGTTTGTACAGTAGGAAGTCTCAAAGTTACCCTATCTGCATCAGTGAAATTTAAAAGCCAACTCAGAGGAAGGATGAAGAAATTACGTATTTATAAGTGAACTTTATTTTCAACAGCTTGTCCAAACATTTTTCAGGTTTATTCAGATAACCATAGAGCAAGACTTTCCACAAATAAAAGTAAATGAATGCAACTGAGCTGATTAAAATGGTAAAGGTATAATTATATAGTCAAGGGCAAGAGGGTCCCAAGTCTGTTTCCTAATCCCAGTGAATACCAGAAGGTTCAATGTTGAGAGATTTTTATTCCAGCAATTTCCATGATGCAAATGACATGGTTTTAATTCCTAAGGCAATATAGCTTGCCATTTAAGAAAAGTCTGAACTTAAATATATAATTTGTGGTGTATCTGAACAGATATAATGTCCAGTCAGTGCAATGGTGCTCAAGTCCAGTCCTCAAGAATTGTTACAACCTCAGTAGCTATTGAGGACTGGAGTTGGGCACCCATGGTCTCAAACCATGAAAGGGAGAGACTGAACTAAAAAAGACAATCACAAAGATTTAGAAACATTAAATCAAAATCTAAATTACTTTAGCATTGTGCTTGAGACCTTGGGTACGAAGCCTGGAAAAAAAGAGTTGGACAACTCTTTTTTTTCTTTTATACTGAGGGTGAGCAATCCTATCAATTCGGAACGGTCATACCACTCTGCAGCTTTGAAACTCACTGCTCATTATTTTACAGTGTCTCTTTTACTCTTTTGTAACCTGTAAGCCAGTCTAGCTTTAAACAGTGAAGTGTAACTATGAGAAATTCAAATGCAAAACATTTGCGTGCGCACAGAAGGTGGCATGCTGGAATTAGTCATTTCTATTTGTAGAGCCGCTTATAGCCAGACATTTTTCTTATCCTAAAAAGGTTTCATGCTTTTTCTAGATAATTATGCTTTTCTACTCCGGTAAGTTTTTGTACTCTATGTACAACTGTGAAAATAAACAACTATATTTGGTGGTAAGAAAATTACTTCCATTGAAGCTTGAAGGGCATTATGAAAAGCACAACTGCATGAATAGATGACCTTGGTCCAAGCTGGGCAAAAATATGGTAACACATATGGTAGAGCTGCACTTTCAATAAGAACATGAAAAAATGCAAGCTGCAATAAACAATACTATAGTTCTTAAACAACTGCCATTGTGCATCACTCAGTGCAAGATCATTTGTTTCGTGTTGTGAAGATAAAAAAAAACTTCTGTCATTAAAGACAAAACTGGGATGCAGAGGCTCTATCAAGTATGTCATAATGAGTCCTAGTTTCTCTTGTAGTCTCAGAATTCTTACTACGATTGGCTAGCTTAACCACAGTAATCCAAAAACTCATGCAACGAACCTACGTGAGGCTAATACCACTTAGTTTGATTCTGATTATTACTCTTACCAAGTGAGGTAAATTTATTTCCCCCTAAAATCATGCATCTGATGGAACACCTCCTGCTCAGTGTTGCATCCTGCTGTTTATTTTGAATCACCCATTGCACTGGAACACATCCTGGACATGTCACCTGCCCATCACAGGGCAATGGAGACACAACAGGACAAGCAACCGCATACACATTTTAAATATCTGCCTAAGAGCAATTTAGAGGTTCCAGTTTAGTTAACAGACGATGTTTCAGGGGTGTGGGAGGAAACCGCAGCCCATAGAGAACATGCAGCTCCACATAGATAGGAAACAATGATGACAACTGTCCCACCATGCACACTTGCTTTTTTGATATATCTTGTCACAAAACTGAAGTAGATCAATGTGCTGCATAGAGGTGTGCTTCAAGTAAATATATTGCACTGAATCCATATGTCTGAACTAAAACTCGAACAGTGTGCTCCAAATAACACCTGCAGAGCAGCCTCTCTGTTTCCCCCGCCACTGATGATTGGCTAGTACTTCTAATGAGCGCTGGAGAGAAAGAGGAAACAAGGCAAAAATAAGTTAAAGAACAAAGTGGGTGGATAGTAGAGTATATTATATGTAAGGAAAGAAACAAACGAGCCTGGCACTGCTTCCCTTCCTGCATCCACTGAGGGCCAATTACACTGCCAGACACTCTGTAACCTTTAGCAATGCCTAAATAAGGTCGATGTATGAGGTAAATATGCAGCAACGATGCTCAATGCAGCTAACTGCTATTGTGAATGTCTGTTACTGTAAAATGTCAACACAATAACGTCCATGCTTCTCTCAGATAATAGGGCATAAGACAATGAGAAAAACGGCTGCAGCACATTAGAAGTGTTGCAATGACACCCAAGAGAGTATTTTCAGATGACAAAAACAGTTCCACTATGATACATTAAATAAAAAGGTAAAGAGGGGAATCTATGGAATCAAACCTTATAAGACTTTTGTCCTTTCACAGAGACGGTGTGTTTCACTGGGACAGTTATTGTAATTAATTGAATGAGTATTTAGTCAGCCATGATCTCATAAATAATGCATGAAAGAAATAAAGCAAAAGAAAACAAAAAATGGTTTGAAAACAAGGACGATTAGGTTTTCTATATTTCCACACAGTGGTGGGCACTGCCAACTAATGTTAGCTGCACTAATCGCACAACACCAATCATAATCATTAGTTCCACTAATACTAAAATGCTACACCAACATGGTATTTATTGAAAAGTAATGCTGAAGCAATACATTTAAACCCCATTGATGTCCACCATGTGTCAATAACACAGCAACCTTAGCAAAAAAATGCTAAAGACCGAAACAAAAATTAGCTCCACTATTAGCATATTAAAATAAATGTGCCCACCACTATGTCCATATAACTGACAATGTCACCAGAAATAAAGCCTAAATGCTTTAATTCATTGAATAATTTCTTCAATTTTCAACCCTGTCAACCTCTTTGACAAGATCCAGTTTTACAAAACCCAATTCTATTAAATAATATCATCTGGTACCTCAGGTATTTATGGAAACTTTTACCGCTAAACTAGTAATCAGAGTTGTCTCTCTACTGTCAACATTGTGATTCAAATTAAAGTCACATATTAGCAAATGATCTTTTTTTCTAAATCACTTTTTTTCTAAATCACTCTTGCTGGCAGGTTTGCTGTCAAGAACAGGTGTGCCAGTGCCCAACACTGTGTGACTATAAATCTGCTCCAGTGCACAGTGAGTCATGCGCACCTGAAAATTACAGACCGACTGACAGAGGCTGCAGTCGAGAGCTGAAAAGGACCAGCCACAAACGCTTTTGAAAAGACGAACATAAAATAGAGCACAAGGTGATCAGAATCCATACACATACATATTTGCATATACAAATATAAGACATAAGAAACTTAGGACTGAAGCACTGGCATTGTCTATTACCTCAAGGTATTCTCTTTAAATTTCCAGACAGCAGACACC